TTGGGACGGATTGGCGGCAAATTGTGACAATTTGGTCACAGCAAATGCAATATCAGGACGTGTGCCTAGCATGATGAAGAGAAGAGATCCAATGACTGATTGGAATTTCTTCCTGAGCTCTGGATCGACTTCATCCTCATTTGGCATTGGAACATATCCAGCCGGTAGAGGGGTCGCTGCGAACTTGGCGTTTTGCATCCCAAAGCGCTCTAGCACCTTGTCGAGATAAGGAATCTGATCAATCTTGATCGAAGATCCTACTCTACTGAGGCGCACGCGCAAGAACTCTGGAGTATCTTCAGAATTGCGGCATTCCCATCGCTTGTTGAACTCAGCCTTGAGAAAGGCGAGGAGCTTCTTGTTCTTAGAGAAGAACAGAGCATCATCCACATAGACTATTATGACGGCTATGCTGCCATCAGAGTCCTTGTAGAAGAACACGCCGGCATCCGATGTAAGTCGGATCCAGCCCATGGCTTTCGTGGACTTGGTCAGCGCTTTCCACCATGCTAAAGCAGCTTGTTTGAGTCCATAGATTGCCTTGTGCAAGCGCATGACTTTGCGCTCTTGGCCTCTCGCCACAAAGCCTTCGGGTTGTTCCATGTAGACCTCTTCGTCAAGTTCTCCGTAGAGAAAAGCCTTACTGACGTCGAGTCCAGACCAATGCCAATCATTGAGCGCTGCAAGCGCCATGACCAACCGGAACGTCTCATACCTGACAACAGGAGAGAATATCTCGTCATAGTCAACACCTTCGACTTGACTGAAACCCTTGGCAACTAGGCGGGCACGCTTTCGGCCATCAGATTTTTGGTCAAAGACCCAGCGACATCTGATAACCTTCCGTCCTTTCGGGCGGTCCACAAGGGAATAGACCTTGCGCTGACGAAGTGCCTCTAACTCGTCGCGGCAAGCATCAATCCAACCTTTCTGTTGTTCAGAAGGCAACCGCTTGATATCGCGGAACGTCCAATCGCGAATTTTGGACGTATCAGGTAGGTTCTCATTTGGAACCGCTTTTGACAGCAGCGCCGTGATGAGCTCTACTCCCCCTTCCCGGCATAGCTTCTCCATGCGTGCATCCTCGTCTAGATCATCAGAAGCACCCGCGTTTGAGGAATCTGGTTGCGAGCTAGGGCCGGGAACCCCTGCATCAGCACCGGTTGATGGTTGAGATTGGGAGCTACCCTTATCTTCACCAACATACCGCTTCCATCCTCTGCTGTTCTGAATGTCACAGACTATATCCGTAGGGGTACGCTTTTCCCCATAGACGTTTCCTGGACGTGTAGGCACATTCCGCTGGCGTGAAGACCTTCGAGGCTCAGGAGCTGGTGAAGCTTCCCGACTTGGTCGTGGAATTCTACTTCTACGAGTCCTCTGAGGTTCATCCCGACGCTCTGGCGGTGGGTCCTGACGATTATGACCGTCGTCACCATCATCATTTCCCTGTACGGGAGGTGGTGGAGCCGGATCAGATGGCATGGGAAATGGAAAAGGATTATCTCCATATAGCCAATCTTCTCCGTCTACCTGTGGTGGATCTTGTGGATTCACTGGGTCATCACGTTCTGGAAATTCCTCTCCAACAGGAACGTGGGGTGGTCGATTGCTGTCAGGACAGCGGGGGAACAACTCCTCGTCGAACAATGCCTTGGTGGCGACGAACGTGGAATTGTTTGTGCGCATGAACAAAAATCCTTTCACACCATCAGGAATGCCCAAGTAGGTCATCAGCTCCGATTTGGGCGATAACTTGTTAGCGCGCTTCTCATCAGGGATAAAGACATATGCAGCGCAACCAAAGACTCGGAGTTCGGAAACATCCGGTTTTTCCTTGTGAAGAGCTTCAAATGGAGTTTTCCATTTTAGACGCCTGATAGGTGTCATATTGTAGATCCGTGTCGCATGTTTGATAGCGAATTCCCAATAAGAATTAGGAAGACAGGCAGTGAAGCGCATGGCTTCTGCCTTATCCATGATCGTACGATTGAAGCGCTCGGCATGCCCATTCTGCTGGTGAGCATATGGAGCACCCTTCTCCACTAGAATTCCTTGTTCCGCAAGAAATTCTTCCATTCCCATCCCCATGAATTCTCCCCCATTGTCAATATGCCACTTTTTGATAGTGACATTGAACTGGTTTTTGACCATCGCAATGAAATTGCGCATAGCCTGCTTGGCGTCGGATTTCTGCGCAAGGCATACTGTCCAGCCATAGGAGAGTGCTTCGTCGAAGAAGCTCATGAAGTAGCGGTACTTGTGATAAGACACCGTGGGAAATTGTTTGAGATCCGAGTGGATCAAATCAAACGGATTCTCCGCTCGCTTTTCGGAAGGCGGGAAGGCACGTTGGTGCATTTTCCCTTGCGCGCATCCTTTACACGGTCGGGTTTCCTCGGGAAATACTAGGTCTTCTGGAAAGCCCTTGGTATTCTTCTTTGCCTGACGTAAAACGTCTTTCGACGGATGTGCAAATCGCCGGTGCATGATCTCATAATCCACCTTGTAAACAGTGGACATGGATCGCACTGTCTCAGCCGTGCTAGGCTTTGACATCAGGAAGTACAAGGCAATGTCCTTCCCTAGAGTTCTAAACTCCATGATCGAGAGTGGGGACTTCCCTCGATGTAAGCTGATCCGCGATTCGTCTCCACGAACGCGAGATCCTCCTTTGAGTAAGGAGCCCAAAGACATGAGACGACCATGTAATCCTGGCACTAGGTACACTGGATATATCTGAGAAGTCACCATTGTCTTTTCTCCATGCCTTGTGACGTAATGATCGATGAAGGCTGTTCCTCGACCAATAAGGGCAACACGTGTGTTCTTATCAGCGGTCTGAGCAACAATAGGATCTGAGAGCTTCTCGTATCCGACCAGATCACTAATCTCCGATGTCACATGGAGAGATGCACCTGAATCAAGAAGCCATAGAGGCCCTAATTCATGATGATGATGTTTCCCCTTACACTTAGAGCAGGCAGCAAAATCGGAGTGCACACAGAATAGATTGGTACAAAAATCATGCGAACGAATCATCAACGAATTAAGTACAGAACCCGAGGCGGCGGTGATTACGCGCTCTGGCTGTGAGCAACAATCAGAATTGTGCATGTGCCCAAGAAGGCAGGGTACTTGCCTTTCGGCGGAAGGAGCGTCCATCTCCTCCAGAAGGGTGTTGAAGTCGACGACTTCATCCCAATTGACCGGTTCAGCCTGGGCGAACTCGCTATCTCCAAACAGAAGATCAAGATCGTTCTGTTGGCCGGTGGCCATCTCGACGTCGGGGATCTCCTCGATACGACTGCGTTTGGCAGGAGGACCACCATCCAGCGTGTGATTCGAGCCGGAAGCAACCGGAGATGGAGAACGCATGATTGCGTCCTCGCGGAGCATTCCTTTCTCATTGACGATCTTGTCGAGAGTCCGGAAGCGTTCTGCGGTCACCGTCACATCCATCTTTTTAGCCAGCTCGAAGACCTTACGAGTAGGCTTCTGAAACTCGGTGTCAATAATCCCATTGTTGTTAACGGGAGACTTCTCTTGAACCGCGCGGATTTTGGGTCCATCGCGAGAGATGTGCGTGACATGCGAGATCGTTGGCGCAGGGATAGACGGAGTGAGCGAGGCGATCGAACCAATAGTGAGGGAGCCAGTGATCTCGGAGACTCCATGGACATGACTGTGATCAGCCTTGCCCTTGCCCTTGTTGTCCTTGTTCTTCCCACTGCGCTTGCCTCGACGGTTCTTCTTCTTTCCATCAGCCTTATCACCCTTATCGGGTGCAGAGCCAGAGCCCTGTTGCTGATTGGTGAACGAAGGGTCATCGCGCTTGCGCTTGGTATTGAACTTGGCCACATGATTCTGGCTTTGAGACTGCTTCTGAGCGAAATGCGTCAAGAGAGCGTCACGCACCGCCGAGACTTTGATCTCGTCCTTTTCATAGGTCTGGAGAACAGTCTCTGTGACGGAGGGAATCCGGGCTATGTTGAGAATGATCATCGCTCTGAGGAACTCAGGGATGCTCAAAGACTCATTCTCCAGGCGAGCGAACGCCGTAGTGATCACCAGCAGCTGTGGATCAGGGTGCAACCCCACGTTGTACTTGGCGTTCAACGCGGTTTGGAAGTACGCGTACAGGTCGGCGCACTGAGCACCACCGTATTGGGTCTTCAGGTGCTCCCAGATCTTGGCAGCTGACACTATGTTGGCGGTTGGAATGTTGGCAATGACTCCCTCAGTCAGGCGCAACTTAATGCTGCCCTTTGCCCTGAGATCATCATGCTTCCATTGCTTGATCTCCGATGCGTTGGTCACAGAGCCATCCGTAGCCTTGACTTCGGTTGGCGCGGTCTCGGTCAGCACGTATGAGATCCCCTGATGCTCCAGATAGGACTCCATAGTTCCGGACCAGACAAGCCAGTGCTTTCCATCAAAGATGGAGACAGCATTGAAGATGTTGTTGGAGTTGGACGACATGTTAGATCTGTGTGAGTGATCAGCATCAATCTAATCTGATAGATTAAATCAAAGATAAAGATGATCAGATCCTCATAGATCATAATCTCCTTCAGAGATCGATGCATCTGGATCAAGCGATGTAATCGCGATCCGGCATGGTTTCACCAGCGCTATGCAGCAGCTGAAGTGATGACAGATAGGCTAAAGACGCTGCTCATCGTTGCAGCCAGTGACGGCGCATACAATGAATGTTGCGGCCATTGAGGCGCAGACATAGCTCTCGGGGCCCATAACCTGTTGAGCACTGGGGAGAGCGTCTAGCAGCTCACCTGTGTGAGTGAGAGCTTAGTGTGGGCACTATGCGGGAGTAGTCAAGAGACTTGTTATTAAAGGGTAATAGAGCCCTCCTTATATACAATACAGGGGGCTATTTGTGTCTATTTAGGACGAGTCGACATGACTCTAGATGACACGTGATGGAGTCATAAGATGTGTATCACGACATCCATCTGGCAGATGATAAGATCATCATTTGATCAACAGGTGGTAACTGAGGTGGCCTTGCGGGGAATAGGACTGCCACTTGCTCCGAGAACCTCCATCCAAGTGACAAGTGTCTCCTCCTCGGAAGGACTGAGAAACATTCGGTCCAGCGCAGCTTCGTTTCGCGACTTCCGGAAGTTCTGAAAGCGCATGCGAAGAGTGTTGACATGGACACCATGCTCACGAGCAGCAGAAGCGTAATTTGGTTTGTTGCCCAGTGCCAAGCGCTTGAGAATCGTTTCGCAGGCTTCTTTGATCTTCTTCTCGTCCGCATGGCCAGCACGAGGCATGCGCAACTGATTAGAGACTCGAGGAAGCAAGTTTGTTGACGCGACGCCAGACACACATGACTGTCAATCAACGCGTTTGATGTGCGGAGCTTGAATTGTCACGCTTTGGCTTATCACCCTTACTTACATCCATTGCAAGCCCGGAATAGCGAAGCGTGTATCGAATACGATTTAGATACTTAATAATGTATTGCTCGTCTTTACCCGGCCTGAAATGACCAACGGGAGGCTCGGAATTAGAGAGATGAGCTTGAGAACACCTCATTTGATGCGCCGGCAGCGCTGAGCAATTCTTTGCACTTGCCCGATAGCTCTCAGACTTTGCACAATCATTTGAGAGTATATAAGGAATGATTTGAAAAAAACCCGAAGGCAATAGATGCATTAAATGGCTCTAACGACCGAAAACACCTCTATGGTGCAGAAACACCTGTCAATTGCGATCAATAGTACTTACTTACTTACTTCCTCCGTGCCTGTTGTTGCATCAATGAAGCGGTGATCTGGATCGCATCTCCCTTCACACCTCACGTGCTCGACAAAAACGCGCTGGACCCCAAGCCTTGGAGCATGTCCTTCAACAATTGGAATTCGAACGGGCAAAACCAGCACAGAGAAGGTGACCCGCTCGCTTATTTGACCTTGAGTTCCAGAGGGCTTCAAAGCTCGGTAAAAAATAATTGTAAAAAACGTGATACATAATACAGTATTGTCAAAGCGAGTGTTTTTCGGCATGTGACGTGTATGTGTCGACAAGTTCTACAACATCACATGGGTGTGGTACTTAGGGTACAGAGTAAGCAGGGAACCATAAGCATCCATGTCACGCATAACACTTGGACCCCATCACTGCTGCGTGATCGGCCGATGATTGCCAGACCTTGAACTCCACCGACAACGGTAGCCAGCGTGGTTACCGCCCAAATCGTGTGGCTCCGCGCCAAAGTCGCAGTTTTACAGTGGTAGATCGCTGCCCGGAATCACGTTATTGAATAGCTTTGCCGAGTGTCAACTGTGCGTTTCAGTAGGCCCCCGGCTGCTCTCTAAGATGTCAGTCCACTCCAGCAGGCTGCTTTTCACTGAGGAATGGGCTTGTCTGAACCTCGATCTGCTGCTCTATCTCGGACTGAGGCTCACACAAATCTTGAACTTTTCGTCATGTCCTTGATCCGAGGTCGGATCCAAATTCAAGAAGACTTCTAGTAATCATGGTGGAAGAATGACATCCTTCTGATCCTGGTCTGGATCTTGGGAAGGACTTTGACCGCGAAAGAATCAATATCTCAGCCAAAGATTTGGTGTACTAGGCCGCTATATTTCCGGCCCTCTAGGGAAATGAATTGCACTATCCCGGACTGACTCTGCAGGAGTAGCAGGGGGTCGGTTCGGATCGTCGATGAGTATCGACGGCCAAAGGTGATTTTACATCTCGGAGAGTCAAACCTGCAGGAAGGCCGCGGAACCAAAAACGGCGCTCCAATTTAACAGCGGAAGACTGTATTCTATGAATAAACATCTACACCACGACGGACCCCGCGACGCATCCCATCAACAGCGCATCCACTGTCCCTCCCGTGGTCTCATCGAGCCACGCATCAAGCCGCGCAAACAGCTGCATCGCCGGCCCGCGCTCCGGCACGGCCTGCTTCGCGGGCCACATCGCGGTCTCCTGGATGCCGATGAAGTGGAACGCGATGGGCGCGGTGGAGTTGACGACGAGGTCGATCGTGTACGTGTCCGTCCCCACGAACGATGCCTCCTTCACGTGGTGGCGCGCGTATTCGGCGGGCGGGTTGCGATCGAGCGTCCATTCGAGAACATGCGCGTCGAATGCGATGACTGGGGGATGTCAGATCAGACGAGATCAGTTAAGATAATGGACGGTTCGAACGCACCGGTCCAGATTAAGCCCGGATGATGCACTCTGAGCGTAAAACTACGGGTGCCAGCGGCGCTGTCCAGCTTGTCATCGACCGCCGTCAGCGAAAATGCAGTCTCCGGTTTTGTCCAGGGCGAGACGTATTCGGGGTCGACAGGAAGCTGGATCTTGTACGGATACAAGAACTACAAAGAGCATTGAACAAATGAAATGGTAGGTGGTATTTGATCACGCACGGCAGAGAACGGATACAGCGGATCCCAATCCGTGTTGTGATCGTTCATGACGACAGCCGTGGCCTCCTGTCCATTTGAACCAAATGCAGCCGAAATATCTTGCACGAGATTAGGGAAGCCGGGAGCGCCATCAGACGTTGCGAGGTGCAAGTGGTGCTCGTTTGTGGTCACCTGATCGAAAGGTTGAATTACTGGGAGACTCTGCACCGAGAATCCTGAAAAACTTACATTCTCCGCGTGAATGACAAACAGCCGTTTTTGATGCATCTCGTCGAACGGATTTCTTGCCGCAAATACGGCCATATTGAGGACAACAATCAAGCCCAGGACGGAAACAACCCTGCGCACAGCAGGCTTGCCGAACCGATGTGCGAACGGAACCAGGAGAGGAAGTGCCTGTGACCCGAGGACGGCGACGAGAGTGCCTACAATGTGGTCGGCGGGAACTGTTCCCAGTCGCCCAGTCTGAAACGTCAGGTTTGTTGGATCCTTACAGCAGCAAAAGTGATGGCGCACCAAAGGCACAAAAACCTCCAACGTAGAAATGATCAACTGCGTCCCGAGGCAAATCGGGACGGCTTGAGCGAGCACATAGGTCCACAGCGAGAGCTCAGACTTGGTCGTGGTAAGGACATGGTCATTCAGCAGCAGAGAAAGCAAGGATGGGAAGGTTGGGAGAAAGAACAGCAAGCCCGTCCCGACGTTGATCAGCTGCAGAACGAAAGCTGCAGCGGATTGGAGCAGCAAGATGGACGCAAATGCGGCCTTTTCATTCGTAGTAGGAACTGCGAGTTGAGATGCAAATGCGCCTGTTCAATGTATCAGGTCCAATCTGAGCAACAAATCGACACGGCTACGGACCGAGTAAAGCAGCTGGGCCGTATAACGCTAGCACTGCAAAATGCCCACCCGCAAACCAGCTCATCCCTTTCCCAAGTACCACCTTCATCATGACCGCCAGCAGGTTCACACCAAACAAACTACCCAACAGACCGGCCGACGCAGCGAGGATGCCCGTGCGCTGTCCACGCCAGACGGAGCGAGTCGCTGCCAGAACAGCAACGAGACCCAGCCCATAGAGCACTTTGGCGGCGGAGAAGGAATACATCACAAAGTAATCCAGGAAGCTGAAGAACACCAGCTGCAACTGTCCTTTTTTCTGCACCGTGGGCAGCGAGGAACCAGCGGCGGTTATGTATTTGACCAGGGCAAGTGTGTTTTCACCCATGTTCTTCGGTGAAGATTAGCGATCAGTTGTGTGCAAACGATCAACAGTTCGTGCCTGGGCCACTCCGACTTGGATGTTCTCCACCAGATCCTGACATAGATGAGAATGCTGGATCATACAGCATAAGCATCCACTACACACCTTGCGCATATGATACAGATAACTGTTGCCGACAACTGCCATCTAGATGACGGGGATCACCATATGTCGTCACACACACAGTACGTCAAAGGACTCACATCAAGACCGGGGACGGTCAGATACTCTTCAAATTGCCGGAAATCAGTGCTGTCTGGGGTAAGCTACGCGCAACACGCAAGGGAAGACCGGACTCGGATAACAGGACACCCGAATTGAAGACTTCATTGGCGAATATCGTCCCGAAGCGACTGCGGACGCATGATCGGTGGATGGAGCGAAGCATTCACCATTTGAAAGACTGACTGCGGTATGCGAGAATATGCTTCGACCATCTCTTCCGAAGTTGCCTGGAACAAGAGCTCCCGGCCGGTCGTTCCAGCGGCTGGGCAAGCAGGCACTGAGAAAGGGTCATTCACGTAGCTGGGCTTACGCACCCTCGAGATTGATCACGGCACGGACCCTGTGAGAACGTAAGAAGACGAAGAACGAGACGGAAGGAGCGCACGTCGACGCAGTGGGGTGCTGGGTGGAGTACAAATGCGAGCCGTCTTGCAGCGACTCTTCCGCGTTGTTGAACACTACACCGCGTCGCTCAGGTGGGCCACCAGTACAAAGGGAAGTGACGCACGGAAGATCGCGGCATGCGCCGGCGACCAGCCCGGCGTGTCAAGCAGCACGCGGATGCAGTCCAGCATTGCACCGACTGCCAGTGCGTCGTCTGCCGCGCCGGGACTCGGGAGCGTGCTGTCGACATGCGAGTTGACGAGCAGCGCATGCTCTTTTCCCGCGTCCGTCCCGTCCGACAGCCGTACGATGATGTTGGTGAGGTCTGCATATTCAAGCCCACGTCAGGCCGCGTCAGGGAGGGGGCGAACGCGACTGGGCACACGCACTCTGGTAAGTCTTGTACAGCCGCTTGCCCATCATGTCGAATCGGTGCGTCCCGCTGCCCCGCTGGTGCCACACTTCGCACTCCAGCCGCCGGCCGGGCTCCGCGCGCACGACGGCCTCGCAGTGGGTCTTGAGCGCCTGAGCCTGCGCGATCATCCACGCGTCGCCCTCGGCGTGCTCGGTCGTCCCGACCGTGCGGTACCCGATGCCTTCTGAGAGATGTCGTGCGACGTCGAGAATGCGAGATTCCGAGATTTGGGGGAGGTGGGTCAGCGGGTCGGTTCTTTGTGGTAGTCGTTCAGAGTGACGTCGTTAAGCGAGGGAGGAGCAGCGACATACAGTAGGGTGTTAGGCTTGACGAGTACTGAGAAACAAGGAGGGGGAAGTCAGTAGGCATGTGGACCGGGATTGGCTCCAGTGGACGCAGGTACTGACTATAGTGGTGCCTCAGTGCGACAATGGACCCAAGGAGCAGGACCGGAGCGAGCGCAAGCAGTGAGCGACCCAGACCCCATTTTGGAGACAGCAAGGACATGGGAAGAAGCGAAGACGCGGCGGGTTGACGCGCTTGTTGCGCACGTCTCAAAAAGTCAAGGTCGGTCACAAATGTCGGGGCGGTCGGGTCCGCAACCGCCGCATCAGTTGATGGAGGATGTCAGCCACCGTCAGTCATGGGTCATGTGCATGTTCCGTCAGTGGCTGTGACAATTTCGCGCAAAATTAGACGAGGGCTTGACATTCTAGGTTGTCTAGGCACAGATTACAGACCCATTCCACGAAATATTATGAGGGCGTATGAACCTGATTCTAGACCAGACTCTCCGCTCGACCTGGCCCAGCCATCTTCCAGCCCGCTTTGGCCGATCAAATGGATCCCAGTCAACGCTTCTTTCACGTGTTTGTGCTTCCAAATGCGGGGTCTGGCCTTCCCCGCATTTTTATAGATTCGGCCAAAAGGGGAGGACTTTCCCACCCAGTCCTCCCATTTCCCCACTAACTCCCCTTGCCGGACACGCGTTATCATCTCTTGCTCTTTCCTTAACACTACCACAACTGACATGGTATGTGCCGGTCCACAAAGCCCTTCTACGCGACGCTAATGTCTACCAGTCTGCCTACCCCGCATTCGCTATGGGAGGTCTCTGCATGATGGGCGGTGTCGCCGGCTTTGCGCGGACACGTAGCGTGCCCTCCCTTGCGGCCGGACTCGGGCACGTCGTTTCCCTTATCTCACGAGAACCCCTCAGCTGACATGCGTCTCAGTGTCGGAGCCTTATACATGTGGGCTGGAGACCGCATTCGACGAGGGCAGCCGAACGGGCTCGAGGGTGCGATTGGTGCGTGCTCCATGCGTCGTCGTGTCGCGGTCGCCTGATGGAGATCCAGGTGCATCTGCGGTCCTCTTCCTGTCATCCGCCCCACGACTGCGCCGCGGTGGTGTTCCGATTGCGCTGACCTCGACGTCGGCCATGGCGGGTTTGTACTACGCGAAGACCGTGTACGGACTCAGCCAGCAGCAGCTGCAGATACAGTCTGCCAAACTCTGAGCCTCTCCTTCCTCCACGGGTCGCGTGCCAGTTGTGTGGTCCCACACAAGGGCACTGAGACCGGCTGGCCCCGCAGTCGCCGCCTCTTCTTATTCCAGCATCGTCACTTTGATTTGTACCCAGTCATGTACTTTTATTACACGCAAACTCAGCTTTGTCTTGTCACTCTTGTGGTCTGGCGACTCACCATGCCCAGCTACCCCGTAACCGTCCCGGAGCGGACCGCCCTCGGCCGTCGGCCGATGAACACCGGGCTCATTCCCTATGACCAATTTCGCGACACAGATGCGATGTAATCCGCATGAAGGAACTTCCGCACGGCGTACTTACGATGATCGCACCACTTGCGTTTTTCATCCTTCCCAATGCCAGTGAACGCGGCAGCTGAAAATGCACTCGGTACAATAGGTATGGGCTGTCGGATGATTGGATGGACGGCGGGAGTTCAAGATGATCGTAGGCACGGTGTGCTGGACCGCGCAGATCCTACCCCAGGTGTGGAAGAGCTGGCGAGAAAAGTCGACGGATGGGCTGTCGCACTGGCTTGTGTGAGTGCACCACGCGTTATCACCTATTTCTGACACTGAGAGGATACAGACTACTCTGGGGCACTGCTTCTCCATTTCTCGGCGCATACGGTCTCATACAAAACCTCAACATCCCACTCATTCTGCAGCCGCAACTCTTTGGATTCCTTTCTTTCGTCTCGTGGGGACAGGTGCGTGGTCGCTTCGATCTTCTTGCCTCACGAACTCAATCCGCGTGCAGTGCCTTTACTATGGCGCGAAAAAGTCCGTCAGGACATCCTGTGCATTGGCTCTGCTAGCCATGCTCTTGTGCGGAGGATTCGAAGCTGCTGTCGTCTGCACAGTCCGGCCGATATACCAAGAGCACCTGCGAACCGGTGCTCACCCGGGGGTGGAAGCGGGGGTCCGATTCTTGGGCATCTGCAGTTCTGTGATCATTGCCGGAGCGTTGATACCACAATATGTGGTGATCTATCGGATGCAGGAGGTCGTCGGGATCTCGTTGGTGTTCATGGCGGTGGATATGCTTGGAGGTGCGCAGCGTAAATGGGTTCACTGGCGACTGACGAATTGCTGGCAGGCATCTTCTCCGACCTTTCGCTTGTCTTCAAGGGCGGATTCGATGTCGTTGCTGGGATCACGTATTCGGTTGTCGTGGTGAGTGTCCGAAAGCGTCAGTACATAGATGTGGTCTTGATACCTGCTAGGTGATGGACGGACTGGTCATCGTCGCAGCGCTGATATTGAACCCTCGGGCGGCAAAGCGCCGGTCGCGAGAAAAGGAGATGCAGAGCTTGGCCTCGACACAAGCCTCAACTCTCGTTTCAAGGCAGCCATCCCTCAGTCCGGTATGAACGGCCCGCCTCTTGTGCTGTATCAATAGCTCCTGCCATCTGTATCGTGAAAGTAGTCAACGAACTCTTTGTGAAACCAATTTGTACAGACAGCAAGGTTTGGAAAGCAAAGGGGATAACAATATGACCCTCACAACAAATAGATAGTTCCCTGCTCCACGTCGCCGCGTCTCGCGCGCCGCCTAATACATCTCCCTCAAGCACAGCATATCCCTTTTCAGCTCCTCGTGGTGACGATGCGCGTCCTTTCGGCATCATGAGCTTTACGTGACAGCCTTGAAATAGACTCAGACTCACTTCGCACAAAGATTCCCACTGCGCGCAGTCCTCCTCAGCAAACACGACGCGCTGATGCCAGGTATCAATGTGATGCGCTGTAGCGGACACCCTAGGATGTTCGGCATTGAATGAGAGCACGAGGGGAGGAAGCAAACATACCGTTTCTCCAGCACGTCCAACTCGACCTCCACGGCCTTCCGACGCGCCAACAGTTGTAGGAGAACGTGTGTGAGGCGGAGCTTCTCTTGCAGTTCGCATATTAGCCGCTGCTTCTCTTTCAATGCGCGCTTGCTGCGCGCGAGGTCGAGATGGAGGGACTGGGTGCGCGCGGAAATCAATACCGTTGTTTCCTGGAGAGCCGAAATCGCCTACAGACCCCTGAGACAAGTGTACACAGGGCAAATATATGTGCGGAAGCTCACCTCCCTCATCCGCTCATCGGGGACGAGCATAAAGCAGGTTAAATATAATAAAGAGGATGAGAAAAGGGCGGTGACATGAATGTGACTGACTGCTCCAGGCGTGACCGCTGCTGATCAATTATCGCTTGCTCCTGGCCGCGACAGTCCACAAGCGCGGCGTACGAATATGGCGGCTCCGGTCCCTCCTGAGGGTGCGTGCCACCCCCGCTTAGTGCACCGAAAGTGCTCCTGACGTCGGTCTCCTCCCATGCAGAGTTCCCCATTCTCGAAAGTGTTATCAAGTTCGTAAGAATTATCCTCTCCAAATGATCCATCGCGGGATGTACAGTGGCGCGTACTCTGCGAGACTAGGTGTGGGTGTGGGTGTCCAACAGAATCGCGTGGGGGTTCTCAGGTGGCTCGGATCCTGATCTTGATTGTTGTGTGGTGTACGCGCATGGGCATCTCCTCGCACGCCGAGCGAGATCAGTGCGTCCTGTGGGACTCTCGGACACCCTGCTGACCAAATTCACAGCATCCGGAACAGGCTAACGGTACTCAAGAAGGACCGCGGAGAGTATATCAAGCCTTCCGATGTGAATTCGCTGTATCAGGCTGTCGTCAAACAGGGTAAGTCCGGATCTTGGCCGGGGAGCCATTTTTGCGGCATGCACCCATAATACCCGTGCTGACGCTTCCGTTCTCCAGTCACGAAGCTCAATGAAGTCCGTGACGATGACACCAACTGTAACAATCGGCTCGACACGACACTCGCCGATGTCTTCAGTCTCCTCTCCCTGTTCTATATGACGATTGGCAAGACCCGTGACGCACCTGCCGTATACTGCCAAATCGCCTCGATGAGGGTCGGTCACCGGGTTCCGTTACGCGACCGGGCAGCTCAGCTGACATCGCCTCGTAGCAAATTCTGCGACACATGGATGAGAGTGCGGTGTACAATGAATCAGACTTGGCGCCCTTTCGGCGACGGCTAGCCGAGCTGCGACAGATCGTACAGCATGAAGGGAAACAGGCTAATGCACTGACGAAGTTGCTTGAGCGGCAGTTAAATGAATGTGGTGCGTTGCTGTGTCCCTTCCTCCCCTTCCCACCACGTCTCATGCGCTGCCGCTGGATTCCAGAGAGCATCGTCCGTCGTCTGGAAGAGTCACTCTCTGTGCTGTCGGTGGAGCTTATACCGATCCATGAACGCCTCGTCACACTGCGTCGACAGCTCGTGGCCCTCGCTGCCAAGGAAGGATCGCACGTCGCTGAGCTCAAGCCGATCAAAGAAGAGCTCCGGAAGATCGACTCGAAGCGGGTCGATGGCAAGTTCCTCGGGCCAGGCGGGATTGTTCCCGCGTCGCAGGCGATCTGCTCCTCTCTGCTCGAGGAGTGTTTCGAGATTGTGCAGGAGATCAAGGCTCAGGAGGACTCGAAATACGTGGACGGGTCGCTGAGGCCGATCTACGACCGACTCTCTGGACTCAGAGCGGAGTTGGAGAGTCTGGTGCTGACGCACCGATGGACACTGCGCGAAACTGATCTATGGAACTACTCGAGTGCGCTGCAAGATATCGACAAGATGAGGGTGGATGGCAAGTTTCTGGATTCGGAGGGTGGCAGACCACCTGGCCAATATGTGCGTGTCTGTCCGTGTGAAACTATGAAGCTGACGATTGAGTAGATCCTCCTGTATCTCCTCCGTCGATGTTACGGGCTGATATACCGATTGCTATCCTCCAGTGAGCCTGTGTCTGAGGAACTCATGCCCATCGTACGTGCTTTCAGGAACTCTACACCTCTTCCTGCTGACTGCAGTAGGCCAACAAACTGTCGACCGTCAAAAAGTGCCTCAACGAAGTGCTCAAATACGGCGGTACATTCAGCGCTCGGGATCTATATCCTGTATGTCTTCTCTGTCTTGCCTACTCCGCTCCTTTGCTGACTGTCGCAGTATCAATTAGCCCTGTTTCAAATTGATTCGATGCGCAAGGATGGCAAGTTTGTCGGGCCAGAGGGCACTGTACCCGAGGGCCAGGGTGTGGTCATGGCGCATTTGAATGAATGTCACGAGCTACTTGAGATGGTACGTGACATCATTCGGCCCCTGAATGAGAGTGTGGGATTCTGACGGCAATTGTAGCTGAAAGAGTCGCTTGAGGGCTCGGATGCCGACGAAGATGACGAGGACGAGGACGAGGAGTTCGATGATGAGAACGACGATGATGAGAACGACGTCGACGTCGAAGGGGGCAGTACCAGAGTTAGAGATGGAGCGAGCGAGCGAGACGATGTTGAAGACGATGACGACGACTACGAAAGCTTTTCTCCACCGCCCGACAGCGAAGACTACGACGACGATGATTTGGAAGAGGAGGGCACAGGCGGGCCATAACCAAATGTAGATGTATCCAATACAAGTATCCCCACGTTCCAGGACAATGATCTCTCAGAATGAACGACTCCATTCTGTTTGTGCAAAGCACTGTTTCTTAGCGTGTGCCACAAGTACACAAGTGATGAAGCCTGACTTTCTCCGCCGAACTCTGACCGGAAAACAATAGGAATCAATGCCAAGAATGCTAGTGGCCACCTCAATGGACGAGTGCGGACCGATGTTCCACACACGCGTCGGTCCATCCCAAAATGATTCTCACCTTTGAATGACAGCGGCACCGCCACGACTTCATATCCTGACCAAACCCCTCGTCGTCATCACCACACACGCGTCCTCCCGTAAAATGGTCTGCACAAGCCGATAACCACCCGTCTCCCCGACGCGCCCTCTGATTCACCATGCACAGTCGTCGTCGTCCGCCAGTGGAATCCCTGCCATGGGCATGAGCCTGCTCTGCATCGTCGGCGGGGCGATCGGTTTCTTCCGCAAAGGCTCCATCCCGTCCTTCGTCGCGGGCCTCGCGTGCGTGTTTCCTCCTTCCTACGAGTGAAGACTCAAGGCCGCATTCCGCAGCGTGGGCATGTTGTATCTGCGCAGCGGCTCGCAGATGCTCGACGGGTCAGCGGCAGGGAACGTGGGAGTGCAGGGTGCCTTGTGTGCGTCGTCCACATGCTGTCCGTTGCCCCGGCTCGTGCTGATCGGCTTCCCTGTTAGTGGCCTCTGTTTTGCTCACCCTCAGCTCGGTGCCCCGCCTGACGAAAGGTCCGATTCCGAAAGTGCTCGCGCTCGGGTCGTCGATCGTGGGCGCGTACTACGCTCGCTGGTACTTCAACGTTTGAGCTGGATGTGTATGCTCTGCATGGGGAAATTTAAAAGGCGTTATGCGCTAGGCATGTAAGCTGAAACTTCATTGGTGTGCATGCGTCGGCGTGTCGTGCACCTTTGCTTCCGTAAGTTTGTCACGTGCTCTCGAATTTAATGAACATGGCAGAAGCGAGAAGGTTCTGACAGAGATATCTTTCATAATTCCGAGCGCATTTTGAACCCCGGTCCGGATGCCTCAATCCACATCCCAGCGTCAATATGAAGTATTGTCAAAAGCACACGACGAAAAAGTTGTGATATGCATTCTTGTGGGAGTACATTGCATTGGTACATTCGGGTTGTCAAGATCTCGTTCAGAAGGACAGTGTCTGCCCAGCGGTTCCCACTGAAAATCATGTCAGTTGGCTTTTCAGCGGATACGAACAGGTAGATAAGACCACGGACCAACTGCGGCCTTGACGCTCGCGGTGTCGAGCAAAGTAAAGGAGTAGGGTGGGCTGGTGAAGGTTCCGACGGGGGCTGATCGCCAGTCAATCAAACTACTATGCACAGCAGCGGAGCAGAACACGAACCGGTGTTGGTAGCCCCACCAAAGTCGTTTCCGGTCGCGACGGCAAAACCAGTATCGGTGCTCTCAATCGCAAGACTCGTGTTGATGAAGACATTGTTTTGAATGAGCATTTGGGCACCTGAATCAGATGTTATCAGATGTTTTCGTGTTTTCCAGTTATCCCAGCGGCACGCACCCTCGCGGGTGTTGATGTTGGTCAGAATGTTGCTGTCGAAGACGTTGTTGAACACGTGACCATGTCCAAAGCGCAGAGACGGAGTGCGCGAGTTGAGGTTGCGCCTGTTTTTGTTGAGCAGGATTCATTAGCTGCGGGTGGTGGCGAGGCGCACCAATAGTTGTTTCCCATGGTGACGGTGATCGCTGTATCTTCAGCCCCGTTGTTGTCCGAATGGCCGATAAGCGAAGCCTTGAAGTGCTCGTGCAAGAAGCTGTTGGTGACTGTGATCCCGGTGACCCCGTGTGTCCTGAACCCATTATGAGTTTCGTTGTTTGTATGCTCAAACTAGCCAAGATCATACAGATCGCAGAGTCCATCGTAAAAGTCCTTGCTGTGGTCTATCCGAAGGAATCGATCAGTCGATCTCGCTCTGCTTCGAATTGGCTGACATACCCAAGTCAGACGAGAGATCGACATGGTCAATCCAGACCTGGTGTGCCTCTTGCACGCCGATCGCGTCGCCCGCTTTGGCGAGCACCTTCGAGATCTTCACGTTGCGGATGATGACATTTTGCTGTGGATCGCGTGCGCGTGTCAATATCAGACGAGAATATAGCAACCACGGGGAGCAGCGAACCTCTCTGAAGACTCGCAGACCGACGCCAACCAAGGCTGCGTGACTCGCTGATCAGTTCTCGACACCTAAACGAGCGCGGCAGTGCGTACCTGATCCCGTCTTGCCGATGACGGTCGTGTTGGAGCCGACCCGAAGAGCGACGTTCCCCGTGATGGTCCCTCAATTAATGTGGGTAACGGGACCCCCATTTCGCCAAGAACGTGACCTACCGGAGATCAGGACGATCTTCTTCGCGCTGCCGGTCAGGGCCGTGGTCACTGCGCGCTCGGTCAGCGTGCGTGCAGCTGAGTTGAAATCTGATTGCTTACGGGCGTCGAGCGTGGTCACAGTCGTCGTGGGGCCGCCCGAGCCGCCAGTCGTCCTGGGAAATTATGGGTTACGCGCCGGAATAAAAGAAGACAGGATGTACCCTCCATTGAGGGTGGCTGCCAGCGCAAGTCAGTCTGTGCACGGCGAGGGCGCGTAAACTCCTAACTCACCGTAGCCGACGGTCGCTACGTCATTAACAGTTGCCCGTTTCACGACAGTAGCTGAAACCTGCCCAGCAGACGTAATCAGTAATTTGTTTTTCAGATGGCGAAGCCAAAAAACAACCGCACCGCCAAAAGCTGGACAGCGATCAGGAAGAAGGAAGTGCGCATCGTTGGCTATTTGTCGTCCGGGCAGAGAACTGGGGAGCAAGGACTGTTCAACAGGCGTTATATACGGCGGCGAGAGAAAATTAGCATCGCATTGTGTGCGGGTAGACGCGGGCCGGCGGTCCAGAGCGGAGTGGGTTGACGTGGAGAAAGGTGGACATCCACCCATGTACGCTTGGTTTGGCGCCGGACAAGCACAGCTTGAGATCGCGTTGGAGGTCGAAATCGGGCGGGATCAAGCTGTAGTTGAGTCTGCTCGAGGAAGCATTCTCGCTGAGACGGTTTTCCTTCCCTCGAGCTCAAGAAAAGCTGAACGAAGAAAGTACATACCGCACAACTGCGGTGCCCAAGTGACAAACCCACCATGACCCGAGGTCAGCAGAGCCCGTGCGAGGCTATTCCCCTGCGGCCGAGCCACTCCAGCTGTTGGCCTATCACACGCATGACCAGCCGCTGGGCCGTCGAGGGGAACAGCAGCGAGCGCGGGTGGGCAGGTTACCGGCGGCAGCCCAGAGTGCCAGACAAAGATCTGGTCGGGTGCCCCGTCACGGGAAGAATGATAGGCTTGGGACACCCTATTAAAAGCGCGTCTGCGCTTGGCACTGCTGTTTCTGCGTCGAGGGGGCGGCACGGGATCGAGGGCTCAGCGCCTTGTAGATGGATGGATGACTGTTGATGGGAAGATAGTCTGGTGCCTCGTCATGTCCGCATCATCGAGATCACCGAGATCACTAATTCATTACTGTCGAATTCCGCTGCCGGATGGGGCAGCACGGACACAAAGAACGTATTTGTTTCATTTCTGTAACACGGAGAACACCAAATAAATGACAGTTAAGTACAAGGTCTGGTCCGAGATTAGTGTGAGGCGTGTGGTTATAGTACTCCTCCTCGTCGGCACTCCGCCAATAAGATTACAGATAACAAATATTTAGAAAGAGTGTTGTTCAAGTAGAGCTCGAGTTCAAGAAGCTGTCGTAGGCCGGGCAGAGATTCGCCCACGCCTTGGGGAACTCGTGCAGCGAGTTCTCGTGGACGATCGTCTTCGTGTCTTCCGCAAACACAATCGCCAGTCCGCTGCGGAAGGAGCAAGTTCAACGGTCATGCGGATTGTGCAAGAGGCGAAACGTAGACTCACGCCTCCAGATGCCAGTCGATATGGCAGTGCAGGAACCACGGGCCGGCGTTGTTCGTGATGAACCGGATCGTCACGTTATCCGAAGTCGAGGGCCCGGTCGAGACGACGTCGCGCAGAACCGGGTCGTCGAAGTTGTAGCTGGTGTTGCCGGCGCTGCGCACGACCCAGAAGTTGTGCTTCAGACACGCGCACGGACGTCAGATCATAGGTCACGTGTCGGTGATCGAAGATTGAACACTCACCCCGTGCAGGTGGAACGGATGCGGTGCGCCGGGCGTGCCGCCAGGAATGCTCACCTCGACCACCGCGTTCGGCGGGAGCGGGTACACGCTTCCGGGCGGGAGCAGGTCTTGTGCCGTCTGCGCGCCGCTGAGGATCTGGAGCAGCACCGGGACCGTGGGCGGGATGAACGGCGCGCCGTTGATCTGGAACTTGCCCGTCGTCCCGTTGATCGAGATCTTCAGGTTCAAAGCTTTGTCGACGCCCCCGACAAAGGGGCGCCCGGCAACAGGGGTCCGGTAGAGCGGGTGCAGATCGGTTTCGAGGAGCAGGTTGCTTGCGGTCGAGTTGGTCGTGGGCTCGACTTTCCGCGCCTTCTTGTACCGCAGGATGGCCGAATTGATTCCTCCGGTGAAACCTGGGATCCCAACGTTTGGGTTCGCCCTGATCCAGTAATTTCCGATGGGCTGGTTGGCCTTGAGAACGAATGAATACCGCTGGGCGGCTGTGGAGGGACCATGATTAAACATCTGGGATCATGCATTCCGGACCGAGGCCTTACCGAAAATCTGGAGAGAGTCGACCGTCACAGGTTTGGTGCTTACGCCATCAGCTTCGATGACGGTCAGAGAATGTCCGTCGATACTTCGTTCTTTTAATACATACTCAACACGTGGAATTAAAGAGTCGTACCTGAATACGTAGTTCGGGTCGCAGCTGATGGAAACGAGGCGGAATCGGTAGCGTTTACCCTCTTCCACTGTGATTACAGAAAGAGGAGCATCGGCCGGCTGGCGAATCAGTCAGAGGATGTCGCTTTCTGTCAGTACGAGAATGAGCTTACTCCACCTGGGGAGCACATCAGACCGGAAATTCAGGGCATGGAAGTTTGGACTGACCCTGATATCTCCCCAGGCCATTAATTAAAGTCGAGTTGGCCGACGGAATACGCGGGGCCCTGCAAAGAATGTCAGTGCGTGGCTTTCCGCAATCAGCTGGCGGGACATACGCTGGGGCGACAAAGTGATACCAGTCAGCGAGAGTGATTACCGTCGACTCTGTTCGATGTTAGATCCACGTGATCTCTGAGCGCTGTCCATCCGCACCATCATCAACGTCATACACTGTGATAGATGAACGCCGGTCAGATTGCGTGCCAGATCTCGGGTATTTGACTCACGGTACCGCAGGGGGTCGTGCGGATCATAGATGACTAGCGGGCCACGAAGCCCGTCGCAGTACTGCGTGGCTAGTGGCGCCATCAATATTAAACCCAGTGATCCGCTTTCAGGGAGCGCTCACACAGGTGACTGTGGTACCAGTAGGTCCCGGACTGGCCTGCGGTCGCAAAGTCATACACGAAACTGTGGCCCGGTGTGATGGGGCACTCTATTCTCGGACTCAGCATGCGTCCGAAACGTGATTGCGAACCGAACCCACGGGTGACGGAAGATGGCCCATCGGCCCAGCTGGTGTTTTTCTGAAACAGCCCGTGCCAGTGGATGCTCGTGGGAGTGAGCATCGTCGTGTCCGTGAGCTTGTCCTGGACGTTGATGGTGAATCTGTCGCCTTTCTGCGCGGAGAGGAGAGGGCCGGGGAACGTCCCACCCGCCAAAACGGTGCTGAAAGCGAGTTAAGTGCCCAAAAAAAAAGCCAGAAAATCTGTACACGCACGAGCGAGTGAAACCATCAGGCGCGATGACCTTGTTGACGATGGGGAGGTTGATAACTGAGCTCGCAAGGGAGGTCGGCAGTGCCACGAGGACAACGAGCGAAGAGAAAAAAAGCATTGTTGAAGTACGAGAAGAGTCGGATGGGGCTCGAGGCTTGTGCAGGGTCCCAGAAGCCAGAACCGCCGATAGAGAGATGAGCCCATTGTGCGGCTGCTTTTATATATCAAGCCTCGTTGCTAAGAATGGGGCATGATCCCAAAACAGTGCGCTGACCCGCGCAGATAGATGGAGAACCGACTCTTCGGGATGTCAATTCTGAAACTCGAGGAGAGTGACGGCACTTTCAAAGCAGTGTCAAGAGCTGTTTCCCGATTGCGGCCCAAGTTATACAAGTAAGCGGTGATGCTCAGAATGGATAGCCACAAGATCTAGCCGATACCACGATGCGCAATTGCGATGAAGCCACGTGTGAGATAATATTCCTGCAGGTATATTCGAAGTTCAAAGCCCTCCGGAGATGCCGCGGCCCGCTTGTAGCGTCATGATTTACTTAACCCCACAAAACCCAATGTCTCAGCGGCTGTAAGGGTTTAGAGAGGCTATGAGGTGGCGGAGATTACGATTTCTGAGGGACGGAATATGTCCACTTGTCTTCTTGGCCCTGAAGCGACGGGGGTGCAAGGATCGTTGACGGCGGGCAGGATCGGACACTTGGATGCTCTGAATGATGACTATTCCAGCGCAATTCATCGAGTGAACGTCGACGAATGCCATCTGGATAAACGGGGACGATGACGGTTGGGGAAAGACCATGAGTGATGGTAATCAATAAGGCATGATCGAGCGGTGATCCGTATCCTCCGGGAGTAACCGAGAGATATCTGGAGGTTGACACTGTTTCAGTTGCAGGATCTATCTGATTTTATGCCGAGTAGCCCATGGCTGGCGATGGACGATGCAGCCAATTTGCTGAAATCAGTCTTTCTATTCATCTCCTTCGCAACGTCTGGTGAGCATGTTTAGGGTCATAGGCAATTAGAGGATCTCAATTACCGCACGGGTGCTCGCCGACTAGTTTATCATCCACCTGAGATGTTCAGAGAATGGCATCGACCGTTCATAATGTTCAATTCAGTCCCGACGGTCCAGGATCCCGGGTTACCGCCGTAGGTACAATCAATCATGAAGGCGTCCAGAATTCATTCAGAGGCATTATGGCCAAGCCGTCAATACGGGGATACGGCGAGTTCCGCAATGTAACACTCGCCACAAATCCTGCTGAGCTCGGAATTGTCCACTCAGTCCCCACCGACGACACAGTCGATCAAACAGGTGTCAAAAAACTGCCTCATTCTGGGCATTTCCCTTTCAGAATAAACGCTTATCCCGATGGGGCCATATGTAATGTTTCGAGTCTCAATCAGTGAACATTGATCGCAGAATGATGTTTTGATGTGACACTGTGTGACACCTGCCTGAACCTCCGATGTCGGTCTCCAAACGCTTGCATGTATCATTCACGCCCTCAGTGCCTCAAAGTGGACCGGAAGACCTCAAAAAGTCTCTGACATCTCAATTCTCGCGATTCGCCACGGTCAAATCAGTCGATGGCGTAGGCCAGGAAGACGCTCTGGGCGCACCCAGAAAATTTGCGTATGTCAGCGTGGAGGGATCTGAGGCTAGCATCACGAAATGTGAGGCGCTCCGTAGATACCGCGATGTCTGCGTACACATCCGCTGACTTGCCGCTCGCAGGTGTGAACGCTCTGAGCGGATCCATTTGGAAAGGCGTCCGCGTGCGCGTCGGGGACGCGCGTCCTGACTTTCATCAGCGGTCTGTACCTGGTTCTTGATTGCGGCATCCAATCTGTTGTAACTCCGTTCCGGTAGAATTGCCCAGGAAAACACGGACGAGGGCGAGCCGAAGAGCCGGGGACGCAAACGCAAGCATGGGGCTAAGCACGCCGAGGACATGTCGCTCGTGACTGCGGAGAACGCCAAGAGCCGTCCGGGGTGGAAGGTCACCGAGATGGGGCGCGCTGTCCGACCCATTCGAATGCGTCCCTCGCACCCTCTACCGCCCCCATTAGCTACGACGACCGCCAAAACGACCGCGGGCAAGCCTAAGAAAAAACGCGATCCTGCCTCTCGCGCCCGCAGACGCACCATCGACCCGACGCGCTGGGACAGCGTGCATCTCAAGGGCATGTTTCTGGAGAACGCCAGTCTCGCCCCCAGACGAGATCCTCCATTGGTGGCCGAGTTACCTGCCGAGACTGTAGAGACCGAATCAGACTCGGATCCAGATTCTGAAGACGAGGTCGAGGCTATCATGACAGTCAAATCTCCGACAATAGCCACCCCAGAGGAATCAAGCCGGGAGACCTCTATTCCAGCTCTTACCCAACCCCTGGTACCACCACTGAAACCTGTCCAAACCGTGGATAGAGTAGCGTTGGACGCCGAGACTCCCGACGGCGATCTCCAGGCTGAAAAATCCAAGACCCTTGACTTCCTCAACAATCTATTCGTCGGGCGGGATCGAGACTGGGATGGGCGAGAAAGTGTCGGGTCAGACGTCGATGAGGAGGAACTGCTCAAGATCGGAGGCGTCATGGATAATGCGGACAACGACGGGATTGAATATGTGCCCATGGATGTCGATACCAGTCGGGCAGTAGAACCTGCTCCGATTGCAGAGGATGAGCCTGCAGAAGAAGAGGCCCCGCGAGCTGTCCCTCAGAAAGTCGCGCAAACAACCAAGCTCAAAGATCTGTTTGTTACACGGGATGACGACGGTGAGCACGTCTCTTCTGGCGCTCTCTTTCCTTGTCTGACCATCACATTCTCTTATCAGTCGGATTCTCGCTTCTCGGACAACTCGAATTGGATCTCGAGCTCGATGACGAGCTAGCCCACATTCTTCCGTCAACACCACAAGCGCCTTCTACCGCACAGCCAATCCCAGCTGCCCAGATCGCAGCAGTGAGTTTGCCATCCCGAACTCGCGCACAGATCACCCTCGATCCCAAACAACCGCTATTCTTTCCCCTGCCGACATCCTTCCAATCTGGGCTGGGCAGCACCAAAGCACGCCAGCGAGATATCCTCGATGTCGGCAAGGACAATGGCTGGAATGTGCACTTTGTGCGGAACGAGACGGACGACGAGATCCGCAAGAAATGGGAAGAGCAGAAGGGCGATCTTACCAGGGAATGGAATCGCCGCTGGAGGGAAGCGGGCAAGGTCAAGCGGAGGAGAGGTGCCGGGCTGGACGCTGATTAGCCACACAGCCCCGTTCTCAGTTCGGAGACTTTTTGCGGTACGTTATCGGATTGTATCACAATCGCATGAAGGCTCCTGTATGGAGTCACTCTCGTGGTGTTGCATGGTCTCGAACGCGGTCGCCCGTCGTCGAGCAGAGCAAGTTGGCCGCTTTAGGCACGCGTGCGAAGCGAGTTGACCCTGGATTGTGATCCTCCGATGTCAAGCAGTGGACAGTGTAGAATTCTTTGAATAGTGTGATACGTATGGGAAATAGTGAAGAGAGGAGGGACGATGCGATGGTACGATAGAGGGCTGAGACTACAGGCCCTCCATGCTGCGGACGAGTTCGTCGAGCTCCGTCTTGGATGCTTGATACTTCTCGTTCATCGCCTGATAAGTGTAGCAGGTCAGATGAGCGAACACATTGGATGGAAAGAAAGACCACTGCGCACCTCATATTTCTTCTCCCAGTCATCACGCTCCTGCTCGGCGCGCTGGAGCTGTCGTTCGAAGTGCTCGGCCTTCACATCAACTTGCCGCAGTCTGGAGCAAGCGCACCGCGCACATCATCAGCGGGGTGCTCTGAAAGAAAGAAAGCACGATCGCGGCGCGGACGCACTTCTCGACAGTCTCCTTGACGTTCTTCTCCGTCGTGTCGAGCTCGTCCTCGAGCAGCTGGATCTTCCTCTGTAGACTCTCGTTCGCGCTCCTGTTCGACTCGTCCGACTCGCGCTCGAGCTTCGACGACTTGACTTTGTCCTCGAGCTTCTCGACCTCGGTTGTCGACAGATCCAGGCGGTGGGTGAGCGAGGAGATAGCGTTGTCCTTCTCGAGCAGCTCCATCTCGAGCGTCTTGACCTTCTTCTCGGCGTCCTCGGCGCGCGTGATCGCGGTGTCCGCTTCCACGCGCAGTTGGCTCAGTTTCTGCAGGGCACGTCAGACGGAATGCAGATATGCTCGATACCGGGGAAGGGGATGTACCTCGCGGATTCGGTCGGTGGCCATTGTGGTGGGTGGATCGATGGATGGAGTGTGCGTTGTTTGGCGGCAAAATAGTCACTTTCACCAATTGATCCGCTTATGGCAAGGACGCTGGCATCAACCACTTACGTTCTTTGCGCGGAAGCTTAGCTTGCAGATGCTCATGTCCATGTCGCTAACACGTCTCGATGATATAAATTAGAACAGGTATGGAGCAGGCGACAATAACCTGAACAGAAACAGAAAACGAATTCCAGTATGTATCAAGGGCGGATGTCCGAGCTTTTCTTTGAGCTCAACTCTCCAACAGAGCTTGGGCAGCCTTTCTGGCGTTGGCCCGCACACTCTCAAGTTGCAGCTCGAGATTGCGAATCTTCTCACGAGCCTCGCGCAGTTCGGCAGTGAGTTGGCTATTCTCTTCCGCCAGAGCCCGATCGTTGCTGTTGTTGCTGCTGCTGGGAGCGACAGCAGCGACCGGAACGGGGGCTGGTGATATGCTCTGAGCTGAAGAGGGTGTGACAGGCGAAGCATATGACTGAATCAAAACAAATCAGTCAAAGCTGACAGAAACGCAAAGGGAACGCACGTCTACGCTGGCTTGACGGGAATACACAGGCTCCGCTTTGGGTGCAGCAGCGGGCTCGGGCGCGGGCGCGGTGTAAGTTTTCGTGGGTGCGGGTGCTGGGGCCGATGCAGGGGCCGGTGCAGGCGACGATCCAGCGCTTTTCGCAGCGAAGCTCACCCCATCAGCCAAGTTGACCAGACGTGCGGGTGCAGTTTTGCCTGAGAAAAATTCTGCGGCAGAAAGACTGGGCTCCGAGCTCGGTGCAGGAGGGAAGATGTCGGCTTGGAACGAGTCGGCTTTGCGAGGAACTATGAATGCGATCGGCTCGATGGAGGAGCCGGCAACTTTGTAGGCTCGCGCGATTTCACATTCAGATACGTTCAGTGCCCGACGCGGCAAGAAGGCCATCCCGCGCTGAGGGTCGCTTGATTTGTGCTCTGACAGGCCGTGCAGCGAGTCCGATTCGTATTCATAGTAGCGCACGTTGCCATCTCTATACTCCATCAGTGAAGTCACGAAGCCGCAAGAAAGAACAAACGGACCCTTTACCAGCGAGGAATAGGATGTTGTTGTCCGACCAGAAGGGCATGATCACACCCGCAGACTGGTCAATCGCCAAAGTCTTGATGTTGCCCAATCCTCCTGTCTCCCAGATCGAGACCTGGCGATCACTCATTCGGCTGAACCCGGTCGTAGCGATACGGTCGTTGTCGCCCATCCACACGACGCGCGATCCCTTGATCCCTCCGTGCCCATCTCCAACACGCACCGGGTCGGCGCCAGCACGCGGATCGAAGAGCCGCAACTTGCGGTCGCGGCACGTCGTCGCGAGAACCGTGCCGGTCTGGTTGAACGACAGACTCTGGATCGTGTCCGTGTGTCCGCTGAGCACGGTCCGAGGGTCCTCCGGGTTCGCGAGATCCCAGAGCTTGATCGTGTGTTCGCCGGACGCGCTGGCAAGCACGTTCGACGCGGTCGGGTGGAACAGGACCTGCCCGATCTTGCGGGGAGACGCATCCAGCCGTGCGACGGGATCGAAGTCCGTTGGGACCCACCCCTCGCTGCCCCACCCCTCGAACGCGGCCGGCTCGACCTTCCAGATCATCACTTTGCCGTCTTCGCCGGCGGAGGCGACGATGCGGTCGTTGTGGGGCGACCAGTCCGTATCTAGCACGGGCGCGGTGTGGCTGCGCGCCAGGGGCAGGTTGTCAGGGAGCTTGTAGAGCCCCGTCGCGTTGAAGGGCGAGGGAAGGGGTAAGATGGCGAATGCCCCTCCGCCGGATGCGTTCCAATTGACACTAAGGTATTCCTGCGAGATGTGAGGCGCTGTCTAATTCGAGCGGTACTATCGCTGCTTACTCCCGACGCAGCGATGACATTGGTATCCCAGGCGCTGTTGGTTACTTTGACGTTGTCAAGGCCATGCTCTTTCTTAGCAGGTTGGCCAAAGACGTGGCTGCGGACTTTCTAAGGAGATTCGGATGGAGAATGGGTCGTGCACAAACCGATATTTGGAGGCTCGGACGAAACGAGACATGGTGGAGATTCGAGAGATGGACGATGAGATGAGGCGATGATGTGAATAAGTCAGGTTAAGGTTAGGTATACGCGATCACGTGTAATCGCGGCGAAACAGAGATAAGAAGCACAGCCATCCGGCTTGTCACACGCGACAGATTACAAGATTAAACAACTACGCCCATTCTCCACCAATCAGGCGTGTACGCCGCAGAGTTTTGAATGACGACTGTGTTGACCTTGCCCGGCTTGAATCCGGAGAGTGAAACCAGATAGCCCTGGAACAAGATATCCCAGCTTTGGGCAGATAGGGGGAACTGGACCTGCACAGCTGCACCGCCATTCACGCTTACCAGGGCATTGCGGCAATTCGAGCAGGCGGTGTTGCTCCACGTGACATCTCCGTTGATGTAGTCAAAGGAAACCAGTTTGGTTCCGCCGGAGGTTCCGCCATCGACTCCAGAGAATGTCAGAACTCCGCCCAATCCAACGAAGCCCACAACAGACACAGAGCTGCTGACAACTCGGGTCGCAGCTCCTCCGGAAAGAGCTCCGGATGTGGCAGCGTAGTATGTGAATTGAGGAGCAGCAGCTGCGGTACCTCCAGTGAGCTTCAGCACCATCGAGCCATGGGCGGGAACGGTGGCGGTGAAGCTGAGCAAATAGATAATCAACTGCAGACCCCTCAATTGCAAAAAAAAAAACGAACGAAGTAGTTAGCTTTCCGAGAGATGCGCCAGTGATGAGATTTGTGGCCGTCGCCGAGGTGAAGCCAACATCAGCCAGGTTGAAGGTAAGCGAGCGGTTTGAAGTTTGCCAATTGATGATTACTTTCGATGCGCTCAGAACCGAGAGATTTGAGACCAATAAAAACTTACCAGCGACTGTCGAGCCATCAGATAGAGGACCCGCCCAGACATCGTGGTCATTCGTGTATCGTCTCTTGAAGACAATCGACTTTCCAAGCGAATCTTGCTGTAGGACTGATGAGCGCAGCGCCCCAGAAAATTCTCAGATAACAGCTGACATTGAGAGCGATGATTCTCTGATTCTTCAGGATGTTCAGCGTTGCTGCGGTAGCCGTGGTGAGATCGGTCGAAATGAACAGCGGAGATTTGACCGCAGCCCAGAACGCGAAATGAGTCTGTTGTTCATCCACAGAGAGACCGCTATTCCCGACTTCCAGCAAGTCAAGATCATTGAAACCTCCTGGACTGAAAACCGGCATTGGAACAACACTGCTTATCGAGACAGAGCCACGACATACCCGGCAAACTGCGTGATCGGCACAAGCTGGTTGATGATCCGGAATAGATTGTCCCAGCTCGGGGGTGGCCCGATGTCGTTGCTGCAAGTCATGTGAGAGACCGGGAAATGTCTTGAGGCAAAATTAGGCCTACGCGATTCTCCACGAGTTGGCCACAGAACTTGCCGGCCAGCGGGCGGGATCTTGTACTCCCCATTCGCAGGCAGCGAAGTTGATGGCCCGACCAGTCGCAGCCAAGCCAGATTGCATAGTTGAGTAGTGGGCCTGCAGTCAGATGACTCTTCGAATGTTGGTTGCGATGGATATCAGGAGACTGACCTCGATCTGTATCCATCAGGAAGCCTGCTCGTTCTTGGAGAGAAGACAGCGACTTACAGAGATGGGAGGGGTATCGTCGACAAAGTCGGTGCTGTTGACGGCGTAGCAGTTGTCGTACTTGAGGTAATCGGCACCCCAATTAGCGAACGTCGCAGCATCGGCGGCTTCGTGTCCCAGAGAGCCCACGTAGTGGGCCTTCCCACCGACAAAATCACATGCAAACACGCCTCTGTCGACGGAGAGTTATTCACGTCTCTAGCCGCAATCGGACCGGCACTTGCCCGTCAGAGTAGACACCGAATTTGAGGCCGAGTCCATGCACGAAGCTGGCCAAGTTGGGGACACCGTCTGGGATCTGTGCGAGGTGGGGACAGTCAGGAAACGCCATCTTCGCGATGCGATGAGCGCACTATGGAGGGGTCCCAGGTGATGGATCCATTCGAAGTCCGCGCCGTCGATTGCCAGCCACAGTCCCTAGAAGGTCCCAGTCAGCATGCAGCCTTATTCCAGCGCAACATTGTCCAATGCACATGTTGAAGTAGTTGTATCCCAGTGCAGGAAAGCCCTGATTGACGAACGCTTGGGCTTGGGCCTTGTACTGCGACTCGACCGTGTTACACCTGGTAAGCACTGAGTACAAGCGGCAAAGAGCAGGCGAAACACGCACAGGAAGGCATTGTACGGGTTCCACCCCATAGCAGGGGTCACGCCGACGCCATTTTTGAGGGCCAGCACCCCCGATGCGGACAGCACTGCGGCGAGGAGAGTGGGCTTCAACATCGTGGTGGATGGTCAAGACTGAAGAGGGAGCCCGCGGTACCGAGACACCCTCGCGGCCCGAGCACCTAAGTACTGCGTCCGGCGATGAGGCACATGGTACAGCGACCATGCACAGAGAAGCTGAAGAGAGGTCACTTGCTGCTCGCGACAGCGTCGCGTAAGCGACCCCAGCATGGAATCCGAAGCCGGAGAGATCCGCGGCTCTGATGCTTTGATTGTGATCGTCAGTGCTACTTTGCTAAGTACGAGAGAGTTGACCAGAGTTGACCTCGAAAGTCCGCCTGCTCACATGCAGAGTCCCTGGCGGTTCTTGCTGTAAACATTGACCCGCCTGCGTACCCATCATCGTGCGCTTCGTTGCATGTGTCCTCGCTTTGAGTCTTTTTCTATAAACAACCTTTCTTTTCGAAGCCTGACCGTTATTGTCGGGAGCAGAGACACTGCTGTCGATTGGCTAAGTATACAACGCGGCCCAAGCCCGGGCGGGATAGATCAGCGATGCCATCAATCGCATCTCTCCTCCTTCCCTAATCATATCGATGGCCACACTCAACCCAGAAGCTGACGCTTTGATCAAGTCCGAGGATCCCTTCCACGTACTGTAACACCCCCTGTGCGCGCCTCGTCCAAGCCCTGATCCCTCCGCTGCAGCCAGCGAACCTGATCCCTGAGCTGTGCCGAGGATTCTACACGGTCTGTGTTCCCTCGTCCGTGTCAACCAAGGACGCGTTTTCGAGATCTTGCGCAGCTCGGATGGGTCACGGGAACTGGGGGCGGGATCTGTATTCGCGTGAGGTACGTGCACCTCCGTCTCCCTGAAACCTGCTCTCACCGCCGCGGACGCCTCTCAGGGATAAAGTCTACATCGCACCCTCGGGAGTGCAAAAAGAGCGCATCCTGCCGGACCACATCTTCGTCCTGCCGTACCCGCAGCCGAACCCGCACGGTGACCGCGTCTTCCTGCGCAAGCCGCCGCACAACCTGAAGGAGTCCGACTGCACGCCGCTGTTCTGGAACGCGTTCGACCAGCGCGATGCGGGCAGCTGCATCCACACGCATTCGCAGCACGCGGTCATGGCGACGCTGCTTTGGAAGGAGGAGACGTTCACTATCTCGCATCAGGTGCGTTTCTCGATGCATGGGATGTTTGGGTAGTAGTAGACTGACTAAAGGGTTGTCCTTACAGGAAGTATGCTACATAGCACTGCCTGCCCGATTACGTGACTCTCAACTCCTTCCGTAGATGATCAAAGGCGTGCGCATCGCTGGTACTGGGGCCGCGCTCTCTTACCTGGATACCCTCGAGGTCCCGATCATCGAGAACACTCCGGTAGAGAGGGATCTCAAGGATAGTATGGAGGATACGATGAAGCGCTTCCCTAACGCTGCGGCCATCCTGGTCCGCAGGCACGGCGTGTATGTTTGGGGTGGGTTTTCACAGTCCCATTCATGCACGTTCGTACTGATCTCGGGATATCCAGGCACTGACTGGCAGAAAGCAAAGACCCAAGCTGAGGTGAGCATGCGGCACTACCACGTCATATTCGCGCTGACTAGACTCCAGTGTCTGGATTATCTGTTTGAGATCGGTGTGAAGATGAAGCTGGCCGGGCTACCGACGGTCTTGAACTGAGTGACCTACGGCGTTACAGTTGAAGTATTGAATATCATACACATGTATTTGTCCCCAGTGATTACCCACGCGAAGCCCTGTTTCTTTACTCCGAAACGTCCCCGACGTCGGGACCGATGCCCAAGCCACGGTCAGCAGCATGTTGAGATGCAATTGAATGTGCCCTGGTCCCTTCATGCAGCAGCTCCGCGCCAGTACTTGGGCTTGACGAAAGGCATGGGCGTGACCTTCGCCTCGCGCATCTTCCCGCGGACCTCGACCAAGACATCGGTTCCCTTCTTGTGCCACCCATTCAACACGTATCCCATTGCGATGTTTTGTCCAAGCGTCGGCGACGGGATCCCAGACGTGATGGATCCCAATGGCGACTTTTGTGAGACGTCGAAGATCTTGGCGCCCTCTGCACGGCTAAATCAGCGACTAGCGCCGTATTGTAAGTGGAAAGTGACGCACGTCGGGCGGGAGCGCCATCAACGACAAGGCCGACACGCCGACGAGATGGTCCCTGCTGCAATTGCTGGCGCACGCCCTCTGCGCCAATGAAGTTGCCCGTCTCCTTCCGCTCTTTACCTAAAAGATGCTTAGATGTGGAATCTGGGCCGGGGGAGTCGCTCACCAATGACCCAGGTGAGCCCTGCCTCGACGGGGGAGGTGTCTTCGTCGAGGTCGTTGCCGTACAGGCACATGCCTGCCTCGAGACGAAGACTGTCCCGGGTACCGAGCCCAGTGAGCTGCACGGGCGGTTTAGATAGAAGTTCCGTAACCTCGGCAGTCTGCGAGGGCGGAATAGAGATCTGGAGAGGGATCAAAAAACGATCGCATGCAGAGATATCCTTCCTTGCCTCAAAACCGTCTTCGCCAGTATACCCTCCTCGAGCGACATGCAAATTGAAGCCCTCGATCGGCACAAATGCGGATTTACCAAAGGTGAGGGTGGAGAGATCATAGGATGTCAGGTTCTGCAAGTACGCCGCGGCCTTGGGTCCTAGCCGAGGGTTCTTCCAACTGTATTTCAGATCGAAACGGGGACGTACCCTGCAACGCAACCAGTCCCCAACCATCCAGCTGCTCCATCTCGACGGCACCCTTAGCACCGCCCTCACCGGCGTTCCACTCCGCCAGCTTCGCCGCGAACCACGGCAGATCGCGGTCGCGCCGGCCGGCGTTAGTGACCACATAGAAGGCATCCTCCGCGTGTTTGGTGATGATGAGGTCGTCGATGATGCCCCCACGTTCGTTCAAGAGAACGGATAGGGTGGAGGTATACGGAGCTAGCGAGGAGAGAGACGATGGCGTCATCCACTCGAGGAAGGCGGTCGCAGTCGGCCCACGGAAGCTATCAAGCTCAATCGTCAGGACAAGGCGTTCTTGCACAGAGGGCGACGCGTACTTGGACTGGACCATATGTCCGACGTCGAACAGCCCTGCGTCAGTCCGGACGTGGTTGTGGCTGGCGACTGGAGGAGAGAAACGCGTCCATGAATGAGTTGTGGCGACCGCAGAGCAGGAGAAAAGGGCCTGGACCTTGTCCCACGTCGCCGTACGCCAGGGGCATCGAATACCCAGCAAAGGGCACCATCTTCGCGCCGTGTGCGACATGGAAATCGTACAGCCCGGTTTTTCTAAGCTGTCTTGCGCGCGTCGGACCTTTGTATTGCAGACAGGTCAAATTATAACGAGTACGTACATCTGAGGAGTGCACAGATGCGAAGCTGCGGATGAGGACGCGTTTCGACGCCGGCAGACCTTTTCTGAGTATGGCAAGGGTGGTTAGAGACATGAGGATGGGTGGTGGGTCGAACGAGAGGGACCCTTTGCGAGTGATGATGTGCACGGACCGCCGGGACTCCGTCGGATCGCCAGTCCGAACAGTTGGCCGACGGTTCGCAGATGTGTTCATATCGCCCAGTTCTTGTCATCATCACAGTGTATGGGAAATCGACTAGGAATCGGGAATTGAAGGGGGGGTGGTTGTGTCCTGAGCCTGCAGCGAAACGGCATTGCAATGTGTTAGACCTCGCCGCATCAACTTCGCTGCAGTCTTTATGACCATACGACTCCACTCCCACACCCTCGGGTTCTGAGAATGGCTTTCAGTTCGAGCGAGGCACTGAGTGGGATAAAAGAGGATTTAAGATGCTGGCTTGCACACCGCAGCGCCGGCAATCGATGGATATGAAGTTCATACACCGAGTAGGACAAGATACGAGGGTTTACATGAGATATGTACAGGTAAGTTCTCCCACAGCCAAGAAAGGAGCCTCAGATCGTATCGGCCCGTCCCTATGTTGTAACAAGGATTGGCGCCGAACGGGCGATGTCAGCGCCGACCGCGGCCCCCGAAAGGGCGGGTCGAGCTCATCTCACTGCGCCGAGAGCATCTTCATGGGCGTATGATTGTGGAAGAATCAAAGAAAATATTTCACTGCCACGTCTTATATGCAGTCTCAGCACGTGACTAGGCCCACCCACGTATGAATGTAAACACCGCGGTAACTCCGCAGTGCGGCCAACTCAGTTTCCCAATGTCAGAGCACATTGCGCGTCAGATGGAGTGTTCATGCCAACTCAAGAAGTATCAGCGACTTCTTTTACTGACAGTCAGGAAAACAATCCGACCAGGCACGGAGGTATTTCGTCTAGTGTGGCCCGTGGGAAGCTGTCGATCAACGCATCCGAATTCGGCATCCCCACATCGTACCACCCGCCGAAAAAGAGTCTCTTCAGTCTGACGACTCTGATATCACTCCTCTGACCCCACGCCCGTCCGCCCCACTCCCTCCTCTTCCCGCTCACAGCCATGGGCGTCTCCACGTACCTTCTCCTCCTGCTCACCCACCCGCTCGAATTCCGGACTCTGCTTCAGTACAAAATCTGGTATGAGCAAAAGCGCGACATCACTGCGCAGAGGGAGCACATCACGTCAGGGTGGGACCGAGCGAGCATGCGGAGGTGTTGGGACTTCCTCGACATGACGAGCCGGAGTTTCTCTTCCGTCATCAAGGAACTGGATGGGGACATGGCGCGTGCAGTGAGTTTCGATTTTGTCCACCACACATTGGACAGAGCTCAGTCTCGATGATGAACTTCCATGTTGTTGTTGGCTCATCCCTATGGCCTTCAAAGCACTCAAAAGATTAAAGCTCTGTTAACCCGTCTACAGGTTTGCCTGTTCTACCTCGTGTTACGAGCGCTTGATACCATCGAGGACGACATGACGATTCCGGCCTCTGTCAAGGAACCGCTATTGCTTGACTTCTACAAACGACGGGAAGCTTACGACGGATCCGGTCCCAAGGAAAAGGACCGTCAACTCCTGGTCGAATACGATGTCGTCGTGGAGGAACTGGACCATTTGGACGCGCCATATCGGGACGCCATTCTCTCCATCGCCCGCAAGATGGGCATGGGGATGGCCGACTTCATTGCGCGCGAGGCGAACGAGAAGGCCGACCCGTACCTCGATTCCATTGCGGATTTTGACTTATACTGTCATTACGTTGCCGGTCTTGTCGGGGAGGGCCTTTCCGCCCTGTTCTCCGCATCCGGGAAAGAGTCTCCCACGATCAAGGACCAACTCGAGCTGTCCAACTCCATGGGTCTTTTGCTCCAGAAGACCAACATCATTCGTGACTACCGGGAGGACGTGGATGACAAGCGCTACTTCTGGCCGCGCGCGATCTGGGGCGATGAAAAATACGGCGGCGGATTCTCGACAATGGAGGAAATGCGTGCTCCTCCGCCCGGCACCGTATGGGACTCGGCCACGCAACAGCGAGCGCTGTGGGTCCAGAGCGCCATGGTCCTGACGTCGCTGCGGCATGCGACAGATGCTCTGGACTACCTGCGCATGCTCAAGAACCAGAGTATATTCAACTTCTGTGCTATCCCGGCTGTCATGGCTCTGGCGACGCTCGATTTATGTTTTATGAACCCGCGCATGTTCCAGACAAACATCAAAATCCGCAAAGCTGAGGCCGCTGGCCTGATCATGCGGGCGACCAACCCTCGCGAGGTGTCTATCATCTTCCGCGAGTATGCCCGCAAGATCCACGGCCGCGCTCTTCCTTCGGACCCCAATTACCTCCGGCTCAGTGTCGCCTGTGGAAAGGTATGTTTTCGCCCCTTTCTGTGCTCTTTCCCACTGGACTGAGGGTTGGCACAGATTGAACAGTGGTGTGAACACCACTACCCGTCGTTCGTTGTTCTGTCCGGTGGCGGGGGGTCCACGACCCAGTCGATCAACGCTGATGATGCTCGCGGACGGACCTTCAACCAATACAAGAAGGCGGATGAGGTTCGAGACACCAAGCTTCGTGTCGAGCGGCTGCGTGCAGAGCTTGGAACGGGCGCCAGCACACGCCAACCGCCGGTGCAGGCCGCGCTGCCCGAGCTGCTGATGTACGTCTCAGCAGGAGTAGTGGCGATATTCGCTGTGACGGCGCTCCTGATCTGGGCCGTGATCAGGTTTTCGGACTAGGTACCAGTTGTCATCCCACTATCACACGATATCCCCACCCGCATACGTGCATACAGTATCATTATTCGAATGGCTACATTTGTTTCTGAAGCTTATGCATCACCGTGTCTGAATTGTCATCATCTGACTCAGCCGCCCTCTTTATCTGTCTAAATCCCCTTCCACGCATCCGATGTCCCTCGCACCGCCGTTCACGGCAGCCACTGCACTCCAGAAAGTCAAAAACGCGCAGAACCTGTGGAACACGTGCGATCCCGCCAAGGTCGCGCTAGCGTACACCCCGGACACGATCTGGCGCAACCGCACCTCGTTCGTCCAGGGTCGGGAGCAAGTCGAGCAGTTCCTGACGGAGAAATGGGCCAAGGAGCATCGCTATGTGCTCAGGAAGGAACTGTTTGCGTTCCAAGACAACAGGATCGCCGTGCAGGTGAGTGTGGGATGCGCGGCGGACGAGCCGGGCAGGTGCTTATAGCTAGTTAGTTCTTCTATGAATGGAACGAGCGATCGGACGGGACTGGGCAGTGGCACAGGACGTATGGCCTGGAAGTGCGTCTTATTTCGAGCGAGTGAGCTATGGCTTATAACGAATGCGATGCTTTAGGATTGGACGTTCGATCCCTCCGGACTGATGCGCAAACGGATGATGTCGGGCAACGACCTCGCCATCTCGGATGAGGAGCGATGGTTCAAGGACGGAGTGGACATCGAGTCGGTGGATATCAGCGAGAAGCATTTATAATCCTACACAACGGATACATGACATTGTCGTTTCGTTTACAAACTGCCGAACAGTCTTGAGAAGAAGCCCGTGCGCGGAGGCGGTCTTGGAGCGTTGCTCAGCGCGCGACTTGGGAGAAGCAGCACGCTCACTCGAATTTACCGGCGCCTTCTTGCGGATTGAATTTGAGCGACACGGAATTCACGCAGTGTCGCTCATCGGCTGAGGGGACATGAACGATCTGAGATTCGGGTTGAAGCGGACACAAGACGCACTGGGAGTGGGGAACTTCTCGCCCTTGAAGACGTGCCCGAGGTGGCCGCCGCAGGCAGTGCACACGATCTCGATGCGCTCCATGCCCCAGCTCTTGTCGACATGACGCGTCACAGCGCCGGGGATAGCGTCGAAGAACGCCGGCCAGCCGCAGCCGCTCTGCATCGACGCGCGTGAGTCGGGGGTATGGGACCAGATCAACAGTAGTGCTGACCTTGAACTTTGTGGCGCTCTTGTACAACGGGGTACCGCACCCCGCACAGTCGTACACGCCCTCGTCGTAATGCTTGTCGTATTCTCCCGAGCCAGCCATCTCCGTGCCCTTCTGGCGGATGATACGGAACTGCGAAGCACGTTCAGGAAACTTTCTCGAACTTGGCAAGGTCATGTCGGCCTCACCTGCTCCGGAGACAGGATGGCGCGCCATTCGTCCTCAGTCTTCTCAACCTTGGAAGTAGCCATGCTTCGAGCGTGGTGTTGCAGCGAAGTGAGTCTGAGGGGGGATCGCGGGGCGGGGTGCGGATGCGGGTGCAGAGGTGATCTGAGCTTGCTGGCGTTCGCGGCGCTCTTATATCCACGTTGAGAGCGAAGCGCAGCTGGAAACATGCAATGAGTGGCACTGCATCATCAGAGTCGCAATCGCTTACATACGGTGTCTGCGGTGATTAAGCGTGTCAGGTGACCCTGCTCATAATCCGCACGTGCTGCGGATTGGGCTTTGCGACGGTCACCAGCCTCGACTGTTGCATTTCAGATACGAACTTAGGTGGGCTTTACTGCGTAGGGCGCAGTCAGCGAATGAAACTCTGCAGGCCCCTAGCAACATAGTCGAAGCGTATGTCCCAATAGTGATCATGTCGGGTAAAGCCGGTCATCCGATCGCGTTCCCGTCCAGACTTGTCTACCGATCGAGTGGCAGTCACTATCGAGCGCTTCCAACCAGCGACTGTCTGCATCTCGCACCATGGGAGTCTCATCAGCAGTTCCGCTGGGCCAGATGTCCTCCTCGCAATCGAGTTTCGACACCCCAAAGACCGGGCGACCCACTCTTCCCGTCCCTCATCCAACCCGCTCGTTCTGGATCGACTCTCCCGGCGCTAACCCGCTAGCGAGTCGAGGGAGCGACGGTCCGCTCACCTCTGACACGGACATCTGCATCATTGGATCGGGGATCACCGGTGTCTCTGCTGCTTATCACCTCTCGCGCGCTGTGCAGGCAGGGGAGCTGCGGAAGGATGTGAAGGTGACGATTCTGGAGGCACGCGACTTCTGTGAGGAGCGAATACAGTGCATAATTGGTGTTGATACTCTCATCCTCCGCAGGCTCTGGTGCTACAGGCGAGTGACCCTTGCACCTCCTCCATCCGTGACCCAAGTCTGATCCGCATCCAGGCCGCAACGGCGGGCATCTCACCTCCGCGGTTTTCCTCGAGTTTTGCGACTATGCAGCGAAATATGAATCTGAGGAGGCTATGCGGTCGTTCGAGATGGAGAATCGCACGCAGTCCGAGATAGTGTCCCTCATTCGCACACAGGGGTGGGCGGAAGCTGTCGATCTGGTCGAGGGCGGACACACCACTGTCTTCTTCACACCGGAGGAGGAGAGGAGTGTGAATGCTGATTATGAAGCTGCAAAAGCTTCTGGTCTTGCTTTGCGTGAGATCGTCTGGTTGACCGCAGAAGAGATGGAAAGGGTGCGGGTGTCTTCTCCAGTCAAGTGTACATTCGATGCTGACGCTGGACACAGACGTATGGCGTCTCTTACCCGGGAGTCCACTTCAGTGGCTTTAACCTCTGGCCACTCAAGCTGGTCACAAAGCTCTTTCTGCTTGCCGAAGAGCATCTGCAGCTCAGCATCCACACTCGTACGCCAGCCCTCTCAATCGGGGAATCTCCATCTGAGAACCGACGCTGGCAAATCGGGACTCCGCGCGGTGTCGTGCACTGCTCACATATCATCCACGCGACAAACGCTTACGCATCCAACCTATTGCCGCAGCTCGCTGGTCCCGGCGGCATTGTTCCAACTCGCGGCCAGGTCGCGGCTATCCGGGCGTCGGTCGATGCCCCTGCTCTGACGAAATGCTCGTGGGATGGGAACGAGGGATTTGAGTACTGGTTCCCGCGACCCGTCACTGACCCGACCGAGAAGCCGGTTGTCATTCTCGGTGGAGGGCGGGAGGTCTCGGAGGACTTCGAGTTTTACAACGCGGACGACTCGACGGTCGATTCGCGTGTCGGACTGGCGCTACGCAAGTTTCTTCCCGCGGCCTTTCCGGGCAAGTACGAGGGGGAAGGCGGGCCAGAAATGGAATGGGTGAGTACTGTCATGGTCGCAGTGCCGCCCGATCCATCTTACCTCTTTGAAGACCGGAATCATGGGATTTACGCGTCTCCGCGATCCATTCGTAGGTGCCCTATCACTGCCGGACTTTACGGAGACTGATGCGACCCCAGGTGGGGCCATTGAGTCAGCATGAAGGACAGTACATCTCTGCTGGTTACTCTGGACATGGGATGCCACGTGCCTACTCTTGTGCGGAAGTCGTCGCTTTGATGATTGTGGCAGAGCTTGCAGGAAAAGAGTGGCATGCACCGCAATGGTTTCCCGAGGCATTTCTTACCACAAGACGTGGTCTCTGATAACCATACGCCCGGCCTGACCCGACAGATCCTTTCACCGTTCAAGACCTTGACAGCCCGACCTTGGATGTGCTGTGTCGTCTATTACAGTACATACACATGACCAGCGATGTTTGACTACTCTGGGCCCTTGCGCTAGGCAGCATTCCCATACCAGGCTGTCAATGGCCCAGAGTTTTCCAACGCTAAAACATTAGATCGGCTGCAGTGGATCTGTTCTCAGTCTTTAAAATTCTGCTAGTTTGCACGCCCGGACCTACATTGAAACGCGGTCTGAATGTCGCAAAAATCTGAATTGGCATATCTGTTATGGTCAGCGCTGATAGGTAGGGCTCAGGCCTTCAGCCTGATGACTGGCTGATCTCCGTAGGAAAGGTTGAATCAGTCGTCATCAGACGGTGATCAGACGTTGATCAGGGAATGGTCAGCAACGCATCAGGTGAGTATCGGACGTCAGTCAGGCGGGAATCAGCGGTTGATCAGAAAACTACCAGGCCCTGGTTTCAGCGGTGAAGACAAAAGGAGAACAGGCTTTCTTCCTTGCTCCATCTTCACTTTTTTACATTCACGTTTGGCACTGCATTTGAACAGGGTATCGCTTCACTTTCACTTGGATATTCAATTAATTTAATTAATTAGTGTCACACTGTTATTCAGCCTTAATGATAATAATTTCACTCGATTTACTTCACAGTGGGAATCAAACGCGAGAACATGAACTACTAGACCAATACAGACCACTACACTGTGTAGGCGCGTGTTGCACTGTGTGCTCCAGTGCTAAGTGTCGTCGGAGACTTAACACAGCCACTTGCATCATGATGACGCAAACCAGAACGACCCTTCCACTCGCAGCTCGCAGCGTACCAGCATCTTTCTACACAGGACTGTGAAGTTCAACATATCTCTCGACATCTTCCCAACAATATTGCCATTGGAACTTTGCGGTCTGCGCATCGCAACAAGCCGAGACCATATCCTCTGAGGTCCACCTTCGACGCTCAGCTGCAAGGACTCGGATACATTGGCAAGCGTCGCCATCAACGCAAACGAGCGGGCGGCCGGATGCATGTACAATGGGTATCACTCCAGCCGCCTGGCCCTGTGCGTCAGCGCTGCTGACCAAAGCGAAAGAGAAGAGAGAGAAGGCGACGTACCATGAACTCCATAACATTGATCCTGAAGTGTTCATCCAGCACGACCCAGCCAAGCGAGCACCTGCGAGTACGGTGCATTCAGCACGAATTGCACATGGTTCTGTCCAGAATAGGCATCTGCCGATCATGACCGGCTGCACGCCCCGCGCAGCGTACTCCGGGCGGTTCTGCAGCAGTGAATGCAATGCGCGGAGCTGCATCGGAATCACGCGCTCCCTCCCCGTGAGCGGCAGCCGCGCCATCTCGCGCGTGTCGCATGAGGGGTACACGACGCGCGTGCGTACGGTCGCGGCGGGCCCGAACGGGGGTACGCGAGCACGATGTCGACGTGCCGATTCGTCCAGCCCTAGTTGACCAGCACGGCACTCACGCGGCGCAGCGTGAGCGCGTAAAGCAGCATGAACGCGTGATAGTACGCGCGCTTTGAAGAATCCGAGTGAACGTGTATTGAACACGAACAACGACCTCGTCGCCCTCTGAAGCGTCGACTTCCTGTTGAAGATCGCTCCAACCAATCTTGATTCTCACTGGGTTTTCGGTGCGCCATGGGACTACGGGGACAGTTGAGCTCTGATAGGCTGAAAAAATACAGAGAATGACGAGCTTTTCCGTAGCTTCGATGTCCAACTCCGCTAATTCCTCGCCAACAAGTTTCCTGAGATGTACATGAGTGCGGAACTGTCTTTCAAGGCGAGTCCTTCGTCCACGATCGAGATTTGGGTAACTGATAGCAAAACTCAGGTCGAGAAATCCATTATCTGGTCGACACAGTTGATGCGGACATATTTTACGCTCTCTGAATGCGGTACAACATATATGTCATTGATCCGTAGCATTTCCCAAAGACATAGCCTTATTACAACTTATAATACCTGATCCCAAACTGACCAGAGGCTGACTCCCGTCTGAGCATACCTGACAAGATCTTACCGGCCTGACCACCGCCTGAGGATATGTGGTCAGGGTCTGACAACAAGCCGTCAGTTCAAATCAGCCGCATATCGGTCCGTCAGGACTGATCATAAATTAAACATTTTTGCGACATGGAAGAGGTGTCTTTGAGTGAAACTAAGACCGGCGACTTCAGCGATCATGCGCAGCCCCCGAATTCCTCCGTTGTCACCTTTTGTGAAGATGATCCAGCTATCTAGACCTCAAAGGCCTTCTATCTCGACAGTTTTTACGTTGACTTAGCCGGTCTCTAGACTAAATTTCCCGTGTTCTGGCCGTCTCTCTTGACAGGAAGGGCGTCGTCAAGGCCCTGCAGTGGATGCGAAAGTGCTGCCCTGTTTTAGATGGTGAATAAGGAATGCGAGAGGGATACCCGAAGCGTGGGGAGTCCGCAGCCCTTGCATAAGAGAGGGACTTTTAGGGAACTATCGTAGAGTTTGAATGTTACTCGCCTGATTCAACTGACCCGGACTTCACTGAGTTACGTCATGTTCATAACCTCACGACGATGTACATACCGTACATGTGTTGACTCATGCTCGTAACCAAGAGTCAATCACTTCATCAACATAACATGTGCCTTGACAATCGCCAGCGTAATCGCTTAGTTCATATCTGAGCCGTCAAGCACAAGAGATACGTCATGTGACCGCGTCAGTGGCGGTCACGTCACATCAGTGACCACCATCTAGAAGTTCTTTGCGCCTCACGCCCTCACTATGGACGCGCCGCTGAATCCTCCTGTGCGCATACAGCCTCTTTCCAGCAGGCCGATCACAACGAAAGCCGCGCAAAAGCGGCTCGACCTCTTCCTGAACGACTTCCAGGCACGCACCTCCGCGGCGCAGAGCGGGCATACGGCCATGACAGTGCAGGTGGAAAAGCTCAAGACCGCTCTCAAGGAGGAGAGGGAGGCGATCAAGGAGCTGTCCAAGTATGTCCGGAATGTTGTGTATCGGGAATTCCTGGTGCTCATAGGACCTAGATAGTGAACTCAATGGCCGCCGACAAATCGTGCGACTGGGGGCTTGTCGACGTCGTGATTCCGGCTGTCTGATCAAGCGGTGGAAGTCGACGAAATCGCTTTTTGCGACAGGTTGGGTTTTGAACAGTCGACCCGCCGACAACCATTGCGGGGATCAGGATCCGATACCTGTCGCCAGTGCAATCTCAGGGATCCCTACGGATTGCTGTACCATACACACTGTCTGCGCTCGAGGAAACAATCAATCTCGCTGGTTCATGTCCGATTCATTTGGAATGCACGTCATCTGCACAGCATTCACTGACGCCTACGCAAAGCGGCGATGAGTTCCGTGCATTGACGACTGGTAAATGGCAGCATACAGATTTGAATGGTTTAGACTGTTTAGTTGGTAGACAAACACGATATGCCCGAGCACACTGTTTCATCCGAACGATGTGCCTTGAGAGGACGTCTTGCTGGACAAAGCTGAGACCAGCCCCACACGCGGGTTGTGAAAATCCGCTTGGTGCTGGAAGATGATCTGCACCCGTCCTGTCCTGCAAGTCGACGCGAGGTAATTTCAGGCGGCCACCCGAAACGTTGATGGCCGGGACTATCTCCGGATGAATAACAGAACCGCTTTGATTCGGTCACCCTGCCTCACACTTCTTCCTTCCGGCCAGCAGCTCCCGTGTTCTTTCCCGGCCAACACATCATGCCCTCCCCGCCCTCGTCACCGTCCACCGAGTCGTCCTCAAGGGATCACGCCGCTGGACATGGTCAGGAAATGTCAGCGACGAGCAGCACATTTCTCATGGTGCGTGCGTTCCCTCACGTTCCGCGGTGTCTTGGTTGAGCACGGGGCCGTGTTTTTACAGTCCTCGCCATCAATGTGAGTGCTGCCTGGCTGGTGCGGGCTCGTCCGCTCCTGCGCTTATCACCCCCTTCCCAGGCCGTCATCTTCATCGCTCCCGCTCGCACGACCGGGAAATGCCCGTGCAGACACGGCTCAGCCTCTGAGCTGGATATCACCCGAAGATTTCGACTCGTCAACGATGTTCGAGCCCCCACGAGCCCTGGCCGCCAACTCCGGCTCTTCCCGATCGCAAACGCCGCCGTCCGCCTTCGGTCGGCCGATGTCATCAGGCGCCCGGTCGCGCGCGTCCTCTTTTGCCGGACTCAACGAGAACCTCTTCGCCGGCTTCAACCCTGAAAACCCACGCGCGTCGACGTCGCTCTCGATCAACTACCTCCCGACCAAGTTCTCGGGTGCTATCACGAGTGGGGGAGCGAAAGTGCGGCCGCGGAAGCGGAAGGCAGGGCTAAAGCGGATACCGACGATGGCCCGTGGGGGAGGCGTGGATGCGTTCAAAAGAGGTGAGGCGCGGATGCCTGATGACCGGGACGATTTGCAGCCGCACACCGGGAGGCACGGGCTCTTGGATAAGACGGATCCCCATTCGAGGTGGACGAGATTCAAGTGGATTCTGTTCGCGACTAATTCCTTGGTGCGATACCCTGTTTCTGATCGCTCCCTCCCACCTCGTGGGCTGATCATTTCTCAAGTACTCGCTACTGGCGCTCGTTGGAATGATCTGGTGCATCCTCATATGGCTGGACATCATAGATCAGTCGGACATCGTCCGTGTCGCCAATCGGCCCGAGCTGGCATTTACGACGGCCGCGGCCTCCCTTGCTCTGTTCACATGCATATTTGGCTGGGCAGGCGTTATGCTCAACAACCGATCCTTCCTCGCGCTCTATACCTTCTTTCTATGGATCAGCCTCGCTTTCCTGGTGGTCCCAGGGTACCTGTCATACAAGAAGTATTCGCTTAATCTGCAAGGCAAGCTCAACTTCCAGTGGTCCCAGTCGTTCGACGTCGATGCTCGGCGGCGGATCCAGAACGCTCTGAGCTGCTGTGGATACTTCAGCCCCTTCGTTGAGGCGAGCATCAGCTCCACATGTTATGCACGGTCGGTGCTGCCTGGGTGCCGGAGCACGTACTTCCGCTTTGAGCACAAGGTGTTGCGGTGGTGGTATGTGTCGATCTTCTCACTGTTCGGATACAACGTCATCGCTATCGTGTCGGCGCTCCTGTGCTCGAACCACGTCACATACCGTTTCGGCAAGGGCATGACGCCCAAAGCTTACCGTCTGGACGCCGGCGCGGTTATGGCCATCATGGAAAACTACATCTCGTGTGTGCAGCTCGTCGTCATCACGTAGAATGATGCTTATATGTTACTTGCAGGAATGTTGCCGATGCGTATGGTCCCGACGCAGCAACCCAAGCGTTGGCTCTCTCCCGCCAGTCCTCCACCGTAGATCTCAGCGATCTTGGGGTCCTCCTGCCCATGGGCTTCGCACGAGAAGCAGACGGCAGTCTGCCCCGGACGAGATATGCCAGCATCACTTCGACGACACCGGACACGGCCATATGATGACGGTGACGGCTTTCTTTCTCCTCTTCATAGTTATTAGTTACCATTCCATCTAATCTCCATCTACACGGACCAAGCTGTATCGGACTGCCTCACGTCGTGTTCCTCTCGTTACATCCGCCGCTCGTTCTGACATTTGCACATATCTCCGCGCTTATATGTTTGTGCGCCTTCTTTGTCTATACGTACTTTTCGCTGCCGAAGTGCTATGGAATGCCCCCCGGCGTTCTCTCCCCGGTGTTGCCTACCACCAATATTTCCTTTTTGAGCCGATCGGCGGAGTTTGCTCGACATAATCAAGTGATCACGTCGTGCGTAAGTATAGGACATAGCTTATTTACCTTCTGGTCCGTTATGACATGACCGCCGCTTGCACACATCTCATTTTGCTGTCCGACCTTCGTACTGCTCATCTGCCATTCAGTTCCGTGAAGCATCTACCGTTGCGACGGTGGTGATTCCGATCACGAATCAGGATCGACGGACGACGCGCGGGGGCAACATCAGCTGCAACAAGTTACAGGCAGCGCATGGATGGATGGATGGATGGTTGTTCTTTCCGGAGACCTATGTTCTTCGCATGGTGATCACTGCCTGTCTGGCAGCGCCTCCCATCTTTCCCTTCTGAACTCACTCGCGCACGGTACGTGAGACGCAGAGTGGCTGGTCCAATTTTGGTGTACTGTATGTGGATCTCACATCCGTCCGTGCTCTGTACAGGTTGTTGAGATGGGACGTCAACAGATGCGCAATCCGATCTACAATCCTCTGATACTTCTCGCCACGCTCCTAGCCAACAATGGCCTTGCTACCGCACGATTCCGATTAGGACATGTGCTGGGAGGGCACGGTGTGCGGGATGACACCCAGGCGCTCGCGGCGACGCCGTCGGTCGGCCAGTCCTCGTGCGTCTCCTGACCACTCTTTCCCCTGCGCGATAGGACTCACCCCCCGCATCGTCTTAGGACGACCTCGACCGGACTATTTTTCTCCGCCTCGACGATGTCTGTGCTCGCCTCGCTGCCGGCGACGTTGGCGGTAGCAGAGCCCTCGGTGTGCGTGTTTCCGTCGAGCATCCCGCAGTATCTTGCTCACAGCGGCTCAGATCAGTGACGTCTACGCCCTCCCTCGCAGCGACACCTGCGGGTGCAAATAACAGCACAACCCCAGCGCCGACCTCGAGGTCCGCGCAACCGAAGCTGCTGCTGCTCGAGATCATTGTCCCAGTCGTTGCTGGGTGTGTGCTGCTGGGCCTGGCGCTGTTCGTCGTGTGCCGTCGCCGGCAACAGCGGGCGCATCAGGAGAAGATCCGATGGGCAGGCAGCCGTCTGCCGGAAATGAATTCCTCGCCGACAGGGCTGTGGTCCTTCTGGGGCCCGTCCTCCTCCCCGCCCTCCTCCGCCGCCGCTGCCGCCCGTCCTCCGCCGAGCCCAGCCGTGCCCGTGCTGGCTGAGAAACCCGATGTTATTCCGGTGAGACCTCCGGCACCGAGGATCGCATTCGACTCGGGCGCTCGGAACCCCACTATGGACGCCTTGCGCTCGGGGTGGCACGACGACGAAGACGATCACGAGGAGCCGAATGTGCCAGTGTCGAACCGCAGCTCGGAGGTCCCTTCGCGCTCTGAAGCGAGTGTAGTGAACATGGCGGACCCCGTCGCGCTCGCGCCCGCCGATGACTCTGAGTACCTGCACCCGGGATGGGACGGAGACTCGGACATCCATCACCCTGAAATGGCTGAGCGGGAGATGGATATGGACATGGACATGCATCTGCACCCGTACCACGCGAATTCCTCGCCGGCTGTCGACCACGACGAGCCTGCGATTGCGGAGTCGCGGCCGGTGACGATGCTTCTGGAGGTCACGGGGCCTGCAGTAAGCTAGAGGGTCGTAGCGGGAGCACCAAGTAGCATTTCAAGTAACTGTATGTACGTATCTGTATTCGTCAATGAATCGGGAACATGTGATCATGATCATCTTTGTCGTCTCCCCTCCAAGTCCCTGCTACCATCCACATCTTGATACTGCAAACACTCCCGCGTAACCTTACAGTCGTTCCATTTATCGGCTCCACGCACGTCAAGCCCATAGCTCTTGCCTGCCGTCAGCGCCAGCGAAACATAAAGACGCGCGAAACGCTGATGCAGCTCCTGTGTCGTGACGACGGCAGCGTCCAGAATCCAGATGTCGATCCCACATTTCACGCAGATGGTTTCCCGACGGGAGCGGCAGGGGTCGCGCGGAACTATGATCAGCTCTGTCACCGTCTACTCTTAGGATCCGCAAATCAGGGCCCTTCCACTGCTTTCCATGCGCGCGAGGCTTTGGGAACTGAGAGCAAGATATTCTGAACATCGACATGCTGGGAACCGGATTGTGCTTGATTTACGCTGCCCCCCAGCGTGTGTGTGATTGCGCACTGCCCCGTCGCAAGGACATGCTACCGTAATAAGCCCATGATTGCATCCCGCTCGGGGCCCCTGGAACCACTTCTCGTTCGTTCGTTCTTTCCAACCATGCACTCGTGTCACTGGCTGCTGCTGCTTCCGATGCTCGCTGCTGCTTTTCGCGCGGAGCATCCCATCCCTTCGAGGTGGCTTTCTGCCACCTCGCCGATCCAAAATGCGGCGAGTAAGGTGCATTCAAGCGGTGTTTCCAGCTCGGGTGCTCCTGCTCCTACTGCTTCCAATATGACGGACGCAGTGACTACTTCTGCTACGTGCGTTTTCGTCTCGTCCCATGTGACTCGTGCCGCCAGAATGTTGCTCACACATGCATGTTAGAACGGGGATGACGGTCTTAAATTCGACAACAACCGTAAAGGTGGATTTTGACACCACTCCTCAAAGCCCCAGCAGCACCACACCCACGAACAGCGCCATCGCCTCGACTCTGGAACCTGAGAAGACATCGGATGCTTCCTCGCCGCCCCCGAGTCCCCCGCTTAGTTCTCCCACTTCCAGCCCACCCCTCAAGCCCGGTCCGACGCCGACACCGACATCCGCCAGATCCACCGTCCCTTTCCCGCCGTCGGCCTCCCCTCCTAATGCCCTCACTGAATCTCTCGCAAGGCAACTATCATCCTCTCCCTCCTCTCCCTCCTCCTCCTCCTCCTCTCCCCTTGCAGGCAACACCTCGACACACCGCAAATCCATCATCATCGGCATCGTCGTCGCCCTGCTCGTCGCCGTAGTAGGCGCCGTGGCTGGCTGGGCGTTGTACAAGCGCTTCCGCCGGCGGCGCGACAGACGCGCGTGGGAGCGCACGCACCGCGAGATCGCCGATGCCGTGCGGCAGGTCAACACGCCTGCTCCGGGCGCGACCGGGACGCTGCCGCCGAGCCGCGGCACGTCCCGCGCCAGCTCTGCCTGTGCGCAGAGCGGCGAGGACGTGGATCCGTTCGTCGATGAGCAGTACGATATGTTCGACGCGGTTGCGTCTCCTCCTTCGATGGCCAGTGTGCGATCGCAGTCTCCGTTGTGCGTGCAGCATTATCGGCCTGTGAGTTTGGTGGACTCGTCTGCTGTATATCATTCGGTATCAGTCTGACAATGAGTTTCAGAATCCTTTGTAAATTATCATCATTGGTATATGCTAGTGGTGGAACGATCGCGGACACAGATCAAGCCACACACCACCCAATTGATGAGCTGCCAGAGCGGCTCCGCTGAACACCAGACACCAGTTGACTGACATCTACCGCCCGTTGCTCGCAGATAGATTAGATGGATGGATGATCAGAGGACGGGTCGCCGAGATGCTATACTTAAGGCTGAGTCTGGGAAGCAGCAGCGCTTCTGGAACAGCCAGAGCTGGAACGCTGGCGACACTCCCACCCCTCCCCCTCTGCTCCCTTCGTTCTTCTCGATGCTGGCTCGCCAGCGACAGCAAGGATCCAGGACTGGCTCCGGATCCACTTGCACCGGCTCGTCCGACGGGACACTCGTCTTGGCGGAGCGACATGGGGACGGAGACTGCAAAGACTCATATCCGGCGCAGGGACAGGCGGGGTGCGTCGTCGAGTGACACTGCGGCAGCTGTCGTTCGGCTTACTCACTAAATGGGGACAGAGGAAGCTCGGACTTCACGGCGACTCCAATATCTCTCCACAAGACAGCAACGACGTCTGCGATGGTCACAACTACGGTGTTCCCGCAAGTTGGTCTCCCCCTTGTCCCCTCGCAGACCAGTCCCAGTGTCGCGTCGACGTTGCCGTACACACTGCCTGTCCCATCGGACTCTGATATTATCCTCTTACCATCAGCATCAGCATTATCATCACTTCCCTCATCGCCCGCATTATCATCATCATTAGCATCTCATCACGCGCTCTCCCGTCCCCAGCTCCTCGCCGCGGTCCTCACCCCCATCCTCACCCTCCTCGTTCTCTTCGCGGTCCTCGCGTCCCGCCTCCTGTATAACCGCCGCCGCCGCGCGCGCGACCGCCAGGAGTGGGTCCGCACGCACCGCGAGATCGCGGACGCCGTGCGCGAGCGCCAGGCGGGCGCCGGGACGCCCGTGCGCTGGGGCCTAGGCGGATTTGGCTACAATGCCGCGCAGGCCGAGGCTGGGGAGAGCCAGATGCGGCTCGTCGACGGCCGCGAGGGCGGGGTTACGTGAATGAAGAAAAGAAATGTGCGTGTGTGGTTGCGCGCGCGGAATCGCTGAGTGGTGTATGTTATATTATTTTGTAAGTATGGATGAAGCAAAGAATCGGATCCCACCAGGAGGTCTCTCTTTGGTCACGCTTGGGACAATGATTGACGGGGTTCCCAAAATGGTAGACCGAGCCCCTAGCAAAGGTCACCGAGTCTTCGAGCGGTCATAGAATTCCTAAAATTGAACCAGAACATAGACTAACATAGACTATATATCCACTTGTTCTTAGCCAATTTTCACATCCCTGATGATGCCCCTCGGCTCTGGGCCGCAATATCAGGATCCCAACTCCGGACATCCCTGAGTGCAGTTTTCCGCATTAATTCCAGCTCTCTGTCTTCTCCGATGCTGTCATGGAGAGTTGTGGCAGTCAACGGTTGATGTAATTCACCACCTGACAAATGGATCAAGACGAGATTCTTTCGCACCAATCCATTCAATTATTAATTCTTTGGCCGAATTATTTCCGGGATATTTGAGATTATGATACAGTACACTGTAGGACGACCTAAGCGAATTTTTCATTTGCTTTCCAATTAGTGTCGGAATTGTGAAATTAGGCGTATGCTTGATCAACTTGTAAGCTGACTGAATCGAGTATAGACACTTATCAGAACATAGTCTCGAGCATCTGCAATATATATTAAAGACTCTGACAGATTGTTCGGACATCGTCGATACACGGGTGCGCTCCTTCGAACATACTTGGCGAGAAGTTAATCTGATTGATTATATAAGCATCGTCTGCGGAGGTTCCCCATCACTGCAAATACGATGATAATGTCAGACCCGTGACTCTCGTCCGAGGGTATGTACGGCCATATCGGCGGGACGCTCTTCGATCGCAGGGCAGAATCAGACCACGAGACCACATCGTGACGTTCCAGATGAATCGACGCTCCATTCCGTGGATCCGGGGTGCAGTGAGATGGAGGTAACATGGGACCAGGAATGGCGTTAAGGAGGGTGAAATGCAGCTTCAGTCGAGCTGTTGTTGTTGTTGTTGTTACAGGCTGTTACCACGCCCGAGCAGGCCCAACTTGGGCGATGCGTTCACGGCGTACGTCAGAAGTTGCGAAGCGCTGCTTAGGTCCGGGATAAGTACTTGACAGCAGAGGAGTTCGCACATTCAGCCCGTGTCGAAACCCCACATACTTACGGTACTCCCCAGCGATGCCGCCTGTCGTGGTACCTGCCCTCCACGCCGCTTCCGGCCCTTGCACCCACATGCTCAGCGTGTTTGTAGATCCCACCCCCGACCGATACACCACGGAGGATGCGCAGCGGCCATCGGGGCACCACAAGCGGGGGAAAGCCCGCACCGCGGCCCATCCTGGTCAACGGCCATCTGGAGGAGGGGCGCGATGAGGATCCTGCGCCTGCCGTCGCCACGAGCCGCAGCACGCGCAGGCCGACGAGCGGCGGCGACGGGTCGCCCCGGCCTGTCCTCGTGGATGGCCACCTCCTCCCTGCACCCGACGCCATCGACCGCACGGCGCTCTTCCCCCTCGACATGATGGCGGGAGTGGGCCCGCTGACGTCCACCACTGGGTGAGTCCCGCCACGTGTGCGCATGCGGTGCTCGCAGCCTCAACTCATGTGTGGCCTCTGTCTAGTTTCGCGATGGGCATCGGACGCGGGGAGTCTCCGGGTGCGGTCGTTGTCCGTGTCGGCGCCCTGGCCCTGGTCGTCGGGGCCCTCATCGTCGTCAGTGCGAACGCGATTTCCCGGTGTTTCCGACGGAGGAGGAGCAAATATTGAATATGAAATGTTGCATGTTGTACTTTTATTCACGAGGAATCAGATATGAGATTCGAGCAATTCGAGCCTGCCTGATTATGGTCGCAGTGTTGGCTGTGGGCAAGTGTAGATCATGCATCAGTGATGCAATGATGAAGTGATCATCCAGTCATATCGCACACGGAATGATAATTGGCTGCCTCGAGCACGGGTTCAAACAGTGTCCAGGTCTTCCTTCCCTCGCCCAGGATTTCCACACTGGTTTAGACACTGTCAGGGACATGAAGTGGCTACGAATCTGGAGTGTTGCTAGCCGGCGCTCAATTTGTAGACGCGGGAGAACAACAATCAGAGTCAGGGTCCTCCAGCCTTTGAGGGAACCCGGGCCGAAACGCTGAGGGATAGCCGCGGTAGAAGCCGGACGCCACCAGCAAACACTGCATCTCCAGCCGGTAAACATCTCCAGTCCGAGGTCTAGCCATTTGAATGAAAATACATGCGATGATATATATGTAAAGCAACAGGACTGCTGAGATATCGAATAGTGAAACGAGATCTTTAAGTAGTACGTACTAATCCACCTCCATCCTCTAGGAAAGCAAAAAAAAAATAGAGACTAGCAACTATGAAGCAGCCATCATGGCCTGGGTCTTGGATGCAGCATCAGCAAGTGCGAGCTCGAACGCATGCAAGTGTTCTTCGACTATCTTGCGCCCGTCCACACGTTTTGATCCGAGAGCAGCGGGGGCATCTCCGCCAAGCTCCAAAGCCTCACCAGCCTCCCACCGCTCGATGCGCCCCCGGCTTCGTTCAGCGCCTTCCCACTCAGTCCTCCAACCTCCGAGCCGATTTCTCAGCGCCCGAAGCTTCCGACCGGCTTCGGCTGTGGCGGCCCCATTGACCTGGGCCTGTTCCGACACGCTGGTCAGCGAGGAAACGAGCGAGGCTGTCAGAGATCGCAGCTCAGAAAGCTGGGCTGCAGCAGCGGGACCGGGCTTGCGGCCTGCTACTCGAGGAGTTGCTGCTGTAATTGGAGGCGAAAGGGAGAAGCCCAGGTGGGCTGCGGGAGGTGATATTTCCGCGTCTTCGTCGTCTTGCTGATTGAACGCCGGGTCCAGTCCATCAGCGTCTGGGTCGACCTCCCAGTCTGTGGACAGAGCACGAGCGTGGCTCGGCCGTACTGGTGGTGGTGCGGGCTCATCCTCATGAACAGCGCTGTGCTTAGATGAAGGCGGAGCAGCTTCAACCTCGCTCTCGTGTTCGGGCAAAGCGTCTAGATGGCCAAGCACGTCCTGACCGCCCACTTCGCCAGCAATGCGACGAAATTCGCGTTCGTATTCAAGCAGTTCCCGGACTTGACTTTCGCGGTCCCGGGCCGTGTCATTGTATCTTCGAATGACGTCCGAGGCGAGCTGTTCAAGGGCGGGTTGTGACGAGGAGGAGGATGCGGCTGGAGCAGATGTAGGCGCGTCACCATCGATGTGTCGTAGGTGAGCTAGGAAGTTGTCGGTAGACTTCAGATCTTGGGCCAGAGTCTCCATCGCATCCTGCGATACTGGAGCCTCCTCTTTGGGCGCCACAGACGACGGAGAGGCGAATGTCGGGTCACTACCAAAGTCGGGTGGCTCCGTTGAGCCATGGTCAAAAGCCGCCGAGTCCAGCAACTGTGGATCTGGTTCCGCAAACGTGGGGTCCTCGACCCGCGTCTGTGGCCGGTCAGGCTCATCAATCCCCTCCGCGCCCTCGTCGAACTCTATCCCAAATTCTTCCGCGAGAAGCTTGGACCCGGAGCTCGGTTCGGGCATCATAGCAACGGCGAGTTCGTGAGCGAGCGAGAAACGCCCGTTGCCGGCATCTTCTCCGCCGTCGAGCGTGTTCGCCAGGCTTGACGGGCCCCGCAAGGAGGTGGCGGATCGCCGGTGTGCCGGAGCCTTGCGCGGAGATGAGAGAAAGACGTCTTCAGGCATTTGTGAGTTTGATCTTCCGTCTTGGCAATACACCTGGAAAAGCTTCTGCTCAAATGAAATAGCGTAGTCTGAAGCAAAGTGAATAAGGCTGAGCAGGAATGGTGAAGGTAAGAATCGGACACGTACCCGTATACAAGAAATCTCCCGGCAACACACCCCTCCTCGCAGTAGTCTCTTTGCAAGAAGACGAGTATTTATCTTGGGAGAAGGTCTAGAAGAGCGAAGAGACTCGTTCCAAGGTTTTCCAGGTCGTGGTAAGGAGATTGTGAAAGGAGGGTGACAGTCACCACGTCGCGTCACGACGCGTCACACCGAAAGCTTTTGATCTCGAGCAACCATGTCGGCCAATTTGCCCGCATCCAATGAACGATACGGCGATATGACATACTGGCGTGTCCTGCACCCCGAAATTCAATATTCCATCTAAATTCTGCAAAACAGGGACGAGCGGTATTCCAAGTCGGTCCTCTGCTAGAGACTTGGAGCTTCTTCCCGATCGGTCCATGTAGGGAATCTGAGGACGATGCCTCGTTCGACTGGTTCAAGACCTACTCCGATCTTGCGCCGTACGTGCGAGAGCTCATCCCAGATAAGGATGCGCGTATTCTGATGCTGGGATGCGGAAACTCTACCCTCTCCCAAGACGTGAGTCGAACTTTGACCTGATTCCATCGCATGCATGTTGAAGGAGATCGCAGATGTATGACGACGGATACAAAAACATCGTGAATACCGATGTGCGCGACTGCAATCATCAACCGCTGGCTCACGGCAGGTAACTCACCCCGCCGTCAGTATTCGCGTATCGTGATTGAGCAGATGCGCACGCGACACGAGACAGCACGGCCAGACATGGAGTGTGAGCCGTCTTAATGCCGTCCTCTAAGAACGCTGACGCTTTTGCAGGGGTCGAGATGGACGTCCGTGACCTTAAATTCCCTGACGAATCTTTCGACGTCGCTATCGACAAGGGCACAATGGATGCCATGATGACCGCCAAGGGCGACGTCTGGGTATGTGTAGCTTTGTCGCCCTTCTTGCGCATGCATGAACATCAGTGACTAGGACCCACCAGAACAAGTGGTCAAGGATTGCACAGCAGAAGTGAGCGAAGTCCTCCGGTAAGCCAATTGCCTTGACATGACTTTCTCGGCGGCAGTCTGACTTTCTCTCCTGTAGCACATTGAAAGCCGGTGGGACCTTCATATATCTTACCTTTGGGCAACCCCATTTCCGACGACGCTTTTTGACGCATTCCAATACAACACTGCAGATCAAGGAGTTGGGCGAAGCCTTCCATTACTACCTATATGTAGTCAAAAAGACATCCAGTGGATGATTCAAAGGAGGACACTGTCAAGAAGTGACACATTGTCTAGCGGGCGAAGACAGGAAACGGTGGCTGAGAATTCATGGTTATCCTTTACATGCATGTGGATAGCATGACGGAACGTGAAAGCCTATCGGTCTCTGCACTGGCCTCAGAGTCTGCTCGTGACGTCCTCGTTGACCGGCCATCTGCCGGTATCCTCCACTCCCTTCAACGACGTAGGGCCCTTGCCCTGGTAGTTGTTCTCCCGCATCCATTGCTCGACAGACTGGGTGCCAGGGTGCACGCTCTTGCACCACTCGACGTCCTTCACGACCTTTCTGTCTCGGAAAACAGCCCAGAACCCCGCAAAGTTCTCCTTGACGGTCAGCGAACCCGTCCCGATCTTGGCATCGCTCAGACCGATGTGGAAGTTGGCGAACCACTCATCGATCGTTTGCGGAACGTAGACAGCGGGTTTGCCGGTCACTTTGGTGAAAGTCTGCAGTAAAAGAAGAGCGTAAGAACTCTTTCCATTGACAGAGAATGTGCATGTGGGCGCGCACCTTGACGAGATCATCCCAGGTGATATTCTCCGAAACGATGTCGAGGTCACGACCAGATGTCTCGGTACGATGGTCGAACGTGTAGCGGGCCCACCAGCCGATGTCCTTGAGGCTGACCAGGGGCATGATCCCATCCCCCAGAGGGGCAGCGAAAACCACGGTCCCGTCCTTGCGCACATTGAGTGGCTCCAGCAGACCCTATGAGGGCTAGTTCAGATCGAGCAGGTTTGTGACAGCGCGCTACTTACGGACGGGAGCATATCGGTGTAAGGCCCGGCGGTGACGATGCTCCAGGCCAGTCCCTGGGGCGAGGCGTCGGACGCATGGGTGCTCACCCACTCCGCCACGAGCCCTTTCCCGTTCAGGTGCCCAGAACGGTACTCGGGCTTGAACCCCCCAGCTTTCGATCCGTACATGACGCTGCTCCAGACGTAGTGTTTGAGCCCTGGTGTCGCTTTGGCGGCTTCAAAGATAGACATTCCCGCGTGCTAGAGCGTAACCTGCTCAGCGGAGTTCAAAAGACCTTGAACTAAAGGAGACTTACGACCTCTCTGACTTCGCCGACTGTGAAGCCATCGGTGTTGATGTATGCGCCGTAGGCACCGTCGAGACCCTTGACTATCGCGGCTTGGTCCTCGAACGTTCCTGCCCCTGCGCATCAGCTTCTGTCTAAAAGCAGCCCGGATGCACTCGCCTTGCACAAATTCGACGCCTTTAGCAGCCAGTTGCTTCGCCCGGTCGCCGGTCGTGCTCCGAGTCAGTACACGGACGGTGTAAGGCGAAGCGTTGCCTTCCGCGTCGGGAGCGAGAAGCGCGTCGATGACGGCGAGACCTTGTGCGCCAGTGCCTCCCACGAGGAATATGATCTTCTTGTTGTCAGACATGTTAGATTCGAGTCGATTGTGTGTTTGAGGTGAGAGTAGAGCAAGTTATTGAGGGCCATTGCAGCCCACTGCAGCTCCTTGATATACTCTGTCGTGCACAGCACGAATGACAAACATGAATCCAGCCGTGCAAGCACTCGGGGAACGCGCGGGCGAGAAAGACGTGTGTTTGTCGACCTCCACTCCGGGCATGCTTCGGCCATCGTGATACACTGCAAGTGAGACCGAAGTGATGTAAGCACTGCGGGCTGCAGAATAGAAATGATCGGTGGTTGGCCTTTCAAAGGTTTTGAGTCGCATGGATCAAAATGGCCGAGTCGCAGCCAAGGTTCGAGTTGCGGTGGACAAGTCCAAGGATATCTGCCAAGTGATCGGGTCTTCCCTACATAGACACCGCCACCATAGACTTGCTACACCATCATTTGGCACTCTATTCTCTCACTCTCACCCTCCTCCACGGCTCAGATATGTGATAATTTTCTGTTGAGATCGAATATACGTAGAATATAGTTTGCCACTGGCTGCCTTGAAATGAACCTCAAACACGTCAGCGTCACGAAATCTTCTACAAAGAATCAAATGTATAACACGGGTCATGCCATGCATGTCTCGAGTCCTTTTTCGCCACAGAGGCTCGATATGGCTCTCGGTATTGGATCGATTGGATAGGGTATAATCATGTGCGTGGAAAAGGATAGGACAGCGGCTCACCTTTACATTTTGTAAGCCTCAGTAAGCCGTTGACACGCCATTCTCGGAGGTCTGGGCGAGGAGAGAGTGGTTGAAAGTTTCTTGAAGAGCTTCAAGCTATTTCTATGAGAGCCCTAATCTACATTATACCCGAATCCTCCGGTTTTGAGACAATGATATCCATCTCACTGGCTGCGCCCAACGCCAATGTCGAATCCCACTGGCGGCTGTCGACTGAAATGTAGCCGTCGTTCAATTTCAACGTTGACTGCTCGATGGGCGGTATCCGCAAAGACCTTGTTAATTCTTGAACTATCGCCCAGGATCAATAGTCAACCAATCACGTGCGGTGTTCAAGATTTTATCTTGTTGATATTATTTGATACATTTGTTCAAAGAACTGCGAGCCCGATGGCCAAAGAGTTGAATACATAGTGTAATAAGAGACAGGCATAGACTGATTCGTTACAATTGAGGACAAGGTCGGCGGACAGAATTTTACGTCTACGGAATGGAGAGAGAGGTCCACGCCATTAGGACACAGCGAGATCGACCGACCTGAGCGCCAAGAACCACGCCGCAGCTGTCGAGCTTCCGCCTATCAGGACGGAATTCTGGGGAGCTGCCTCCGAGGCTCGTAGGCTCGACCGACAGCCCTAGGACTATCCAGCCGCTCTCGATTCGCGGCTTCGTGGCCCTCATAAGCGGGTGGTGGGATCGAGATCGTATCGGACCCGTCTTGCTGGTGCTGCTGACGGATCTCATCAGACATCCCGCCAGGGAGGGAGAGCGGCGCAGAGCCGTGGCCCTGGATCATTGATTCCTCATCTGTCACAGTCGTGTTCCCCACTTCGTCGCGGCTTCTCCCGAGCCTACTGGACCAGGCGGGGCTGCCTCCGCTCCGCCTTTTGCGGGCCAGGTAGCTATAAATACATCCCCCGCCGACCGCGAGGACGAGCACGGGGACTGATATCCCGGCTGCAATCGCACTGCTCTGGCGGGGCTTCGACTTCGCGGAGGCCGTCTGCTGGGACGAATTCGGTGCAGCGCTCGCGTCGACGTCGTACCTTTTACAGCAACGCGGATGAGTCAGCCGGATCGCTCGATGACGAAACGGGGAACGAACGTGTAGCGGGCGTAGTCAAACAGCATCAGAGACCCTGCAGTCTGATTGTTCGACGCCACGACCAGCTGATGCGTGGCCTGCGGGAGCCCTGAGACGCTGTACACCGACACGTTGTATTGGAAATCCGTGGACAGACTCGGACTGTGCGAGAAGGTCCCGCTCGGGAGACCGTCGAGCGTAAAGATGAGATTGGTGTTGGTGATGGTGTTGGGGAAAGGGACGGTATTTGCGAGGATGAAGAAGACGTCTATCCCTGTGCCTGGATTTTATTCGTTCCCGAGTGAGTTGTATCGCTCGGCATCTCGCGACTCATCCACGGACCGTTGAAAACGAGCGTAAAAGAGATGGGGGGAGCCTGTGGAAACTGCGAGTCGTCGTGCCATGTCCCATTGAAGGCTTTGGTCGGGTCGGCCTGGATCCTACATCCATCGCACTGGGAGTTCTGCAAATCCGAACATGAGCTTTCAAAGGCACGACCCCTTCAAGTATGGAAGCGGTTTGCCTGAGTAAAAGCACCAATATAGGAAGGAACCGCCCCGGTTCTCGAATCACCGTACTTATCGTCGATGGTGGCGAAAGCGGTCTGTGCAGTGGCGTAAACTGCAGCTGACGACGCAAGGACGAAGCGCAGTGCACAGCGCAGCAGCATCTTCAATCCGCGAGCCAGCGGGGAAGGAAAGGTGGATACTGTTGAAACTGACTCCGGTCCTTACTTATCCAATGGGAGTGGTTCTTGATAATGAGATCGGAGAGAGCACTAAGAACCTGTCGGGACGTGGGAGACGTAACCATGAGTTCTTCTCTTTCATCATGTTCCAGCCTGCTGTTGATCTGAGAACCGTCGACTCGGGCCTGTGCATCGCTCGAAAAAGTTTGGTAGAGTGAACGTCTCTCTGGCGAGCACCGAGAACATAGAAAATGCGCCGCAAGGGTCTCATCTCGCCCAGGTCCTTTCCAGTCCGTCATGGAACGAGATATCAAAACAATTCAGAAATCAATTGAAGGTGTGGCATAGTGTGAGAGCATCACACCGTTTCAATGGACGATAGCGCTGCTGTTGGCATCCCGTGTGTACGGGGATCGTGCGGGCAATGATTGGGAGGCTAGTACATTGATTACCAGCGTGGTCCCAACAAGCCCAATAAGGAGCAGCCGGGTACGTACTGCATACATGCGCCAGGTGTATACTATAGGCATCCAATCAACTCTTTCACCCTCGAGCACCCAAAGTAAAGTCAACTTCGCGTTGCTGTTCCTCGCTCAGCCGCTATAAGCTTACAAGATATTCCAAGGGGTCTGCAGAAGCCAAGATGACAGCACAAATCAGTATGGAGGCTCAAAACTACATGCTGATAACCGAGACGCATATCAGTGATGCCATATGTTGTTGAACTACGGATCATATGTTATTATGTCAGGACCCCAAAGACCATGAGTGATGATCAGAACGATCACGTGCAATAACCTTGACGAGCTCGCTGACAAATCCATTGACCGACACTTGTCATCACGTGATAGATTGATTGTGGCTGCTTTGTCAGCTCAAGCAGCTTGCTACGTCATACTGATGTGGCCTCTGATCAATTGATCGCGGGGCCAGGGTGCATCACTGCTCGTCAGTACCAATATTTCGAATGTCTGGAGCATCGTAGTACAGCACTAGTGTTTTGATTCAAGCTGCAATGAAATTGAGGAAGACGAAGACAATGTCTGCCCTATGATAAGCTTTGAACTACAGAGCAAACTCTGATGCGGCGGGTCTCTCAATCCTTGCTCTGGAGATCATTCAACCCAAAGAACTTGCAGTACCCAGAGCAGACATGTTGTTCCGGAAACTTCTCGAAGAACGTCCCCGAGTTTCCGCCGCCGAAAAGACCGCGCTTCAGAGTCCTAGGGAAAATCAGACATTTTTAACAATGATTGATCCAAAACTTACGGTGAGGTCATGACTTGCGGGTCGGTCAGGAGTCCGCGCGATCCTGGAATCAAATGAGTAAGATTGTAATGCACGGTACATGTCTATGACCTTGCAAATCGGAAAGAAACACAAGTTTGCCGGTATGCTCGTATTGAACATGTTGTGTAAAGCATAGGAACACCGCAATTGGGTACAACTCCGGGTCAAGACTTGCAACAGGAAGGGCACTGTTGTTGTTAATGAACTTGACAAATTTTCCTGTTGAACAGTGAGTGAAAGTAAATACTTGTGACGGAAAGCTCGATTACTTGTCTCAATCATCTCCTCGATCAAGTAAGAGCGCAGAAGAGAAGATGTATTTTTGCTGGAACTTCCCGTGGCTGCAGAGTCGTGAACCAGTGCTACACCCGCCTCCACAAATCGAATGGCGTAGATTGGAAGTTCTGCGGGCGGCGAAGAATGCTTTGAAATGTAATCTCGAATGAACGAGTATGTGAAGTTCAGTAACGTTGTGCCCCAAAAGAGTAGATTGGCCTCTGAGGTTGTATGTTGAAACTCCTCAACGGGGCTGAAGCGCTTCAGGGTGTGCCTCTCGGTAAACATACGCTTAAGGGCCACCAGCTGATTTGGCGCTGCACCCAAAGGTGTCGACGAGAGTGACGCCAATGTGAGATAGGCTGAATGCGCGGATTTGAATGTTCCAACACCAAGCGGCGGCAGGAATGTCTTGAGGGACAGCGAGCCGACTTCCTTGTCAGCAATATCACAGGTGAAAGCTTTCGCGCTTTCGAGGACAACAGAAAGGGGAGCAGATCGAACGCGAAAAAATTCAATTGTTTCTGTGATGTGCGCAGCTATGAAACATGAGCATCGCTGATGTACAAATTGATTAAGAGATCACAAACCAGCTTCTCTTGAAGATGCGGGTACTGAACCACTCAAAGTAAGCGCTTTGGCCATGCGCTTGAGATCCACAGGGTGATAAACGTCCTCGACCGTCTTGATCTCATGAATATCAAGATCATGGCGTGGCCGCTGCCGTTGCGGCTCATTATCATCTTCAGCGGATCTTTTCTTTGATCCGGATCCGACGGATGAGATTGTGGCCGGCTTCTGGCTCTTATATATGTTTCAGCCCCGAACAAGCCTGATGACGGTTCAGAACTCACAGTTTCCAAGATCGAACCATTCTGGACGCTGGACCGAGCACTTAAGGACTGAAGGGACGATTCCATTACTTGGATGCCAGTGGTATCAGCTGGAGACCATTGAGAGCGGTCTGAATCCACAGCACTCTTATCAACAAAAAAAAATTGTGAATTAATGTTCGATATCAATCTCAAAAACGTACCTGGGACGCTTTTTTTTGACTAAGAGTTGAAGTCTTGGAACACGTCAATCGGAAAACTGGTGCTTCTAGAAAGGCGTCCACTGTGGGATCCGGTCTGTGACTTGACCTTTCGCTGACACTTTCAATCTGGAAAGGTTGGATGAGAGTAATAACTAAAATTTAATGGCAAAACAAACCTGCGATACGGTGTCGAAATGATCCTCTTGGAAGTTCAAAAATCGCTGCCACTCTTTAGAATTGATCACCAAAACGTAGAGGAAGGGCTTTGAAGGACGAGAGTAGACAAGTTTGCCCTGATCAGCGCGACTTCTTCCCTTCTTCAGGCAACGGTTGTATAAAATCGGTTGATCAGGCAGTTCCTCGTGGATGTTGATCCAGGTTTCGGCCTCTCTGACCACAAATCGGCTCTCGTCAAAAGTAAACATAGATTTCGTTTGATCTGCAATCTCTGCACGTAGCTTGGCTGTGGCAACTTCGATCACAAGTTGGATGATCTCTGCCGCAGTCGCTTTAGCATGGACGTTCTTTCCCTCGCTAATTGTCTAGAATTAAGATTTGAGCGTCGAATTAAACAAGCGCACAGAGATTTGAGTGCATACCCCAAATGAAACACCGTTCTCCTTTCCTGGAGCCTCATAACGCACACCGATCTTCACAGTGGCGATCTCCTGAGGCGTTCCAGAGTAGGCCATTTGAGCCCATCGTTGACGAGACGGAAGATATTGTTGGTGCACTGCGGAGTATCCTTTAGAAGAATACTGTTCCGTTCCTGCTTGATGTCTGCCCATATTTGAAGAACTTGATTTGGGCAATGAGAGACGAGGACCTGTAAGACGAAATTATTCCCATAAATGCACGATTCAAGCTATATGAAGGACGCACCAGAGGCAGACCCCTGTCGGTGAGGAACGAACTGAGGGGGACCCATTGATTCTAGCACTTGTGGAACTGCCGCAATGACCCCAGCTCGAGATGCGTCTGAGGCTAACTTGAGTAAATTCAAAGCGAGAGGACGAAGCTTACCGCCAATCCGTCCTTCAATATTCTGCAGTCGAATGGAATCGCGTTCACGCTCAAGACTGACTTTTGTAGGTGCTAAGAGGCGTGAGTCACAACGTATTCACTGGACATCCATGTACACACCTCCAATCGTACTTGATGCCTTGGTTCGGTAATGCTCGTGACAAGCCTTGCAGACGATTCTGCTAGCCGATGTCGAGGACTGGTTCCCAACTCGATAACGAGGATGATCAGGCATGATAATGTGACCCTTGTTCAGATCTGGACGAGGCCGTGTGTAACAACGAGCACCAGATCGACACTCAAAGGGTTCTTGAGTGGAAATGTCATCTGTGAACGTTGCGTACACCGTTTCGCTCGACATTGAAGCCAGGCTGAGGAGTGAAGTTGAAATCGTGCATTTACAGTACTTATAGTGTAGCTCTCTCTGGCCACGTTCCTTGTACAGTATTTGTGATTCATTTCGGTCAATTTTTGGTCGGCGAGACCCTCCTAGAATTTCCGATGTATTTATGGCCATCCGAATTCAACCGAGAGGCAAGTCCTTGAATTTACGAGCGGATCCAAACTGGATCAACATGTGCCATCACACGTTTCCAAAATTGAGCTATGTACGGTAACTTACCTTCCATTGATATTAGCTGAGTTCCGGTGCGCTCCAACAGTGAACAATGTGCACTCCAACCAAGGAGAAACCAGTACTATAACTGAATTTTATTTCAATCTTACTCCGTAAAGTTACGCGGGGAACCACACTTTGCTTTGGGATTGGTTGGTAATCATGACTTTGGGACTCCGGAGCGCTCCGTAGCCATGCAAAATTCGTTCTTATAAATTGATTCATCGAACCGCTTCCCTTCTGCAGTGTCCCATTCCCTCTTCACTCTCAACAAACATTTACCGACTTGTGCATGCCTAAAGCCAATCAATATAAACCCGTCCGTATGTTACCAACAAGACTTATCAGCTCGATTTCACGGATATTCTAGCCCCCTCTGAGGATCTGCGGCCATTTATTGCAAAGTACTGGAAACAAAACAAGAGCGATGTGGAGATTCTCGCACTACTCAAGAAGCATCATATCGATCTAGCAAAATACGGTCTAGAGTAAGTCTGCTTGTTGCCGTACATACTCCTCCTCTTTCTAGCTGAATATCGCTTTCAGGATTGCTACGTTTCGCAAAATTCGAGAGAATTTGGGATTTCTTCGTGCTCGGAGACAGGGTCACACGGTTGAGTCCATTGCTGGAGCAATCACTAAGCTTCGGGTCACGTACCCAAAGGCTGGTGGGCAAGAGATGGTCAGTTTACTGTTTCACGAGGAAGAAATCAATGTTTCACGGTGCGTCTATCCTAATATTTACGGAACATGACGCTGATCTATTCAAATCTGGGTCTTGTTTCGTCCAGCAAGACTGTAATGCAGTATTTCCATATCTATGAACCTGACCTTGTTCGCGAGCGTCGTCGTGGTCATTTCAAACGCAAGAGATTCTGGGCAGCTGGCTCGAACAATGTCTGGGCTGTAGATCAACATGACAAGTGGAAATACAAATTTGGTCTCGCTCTCCACACCGGGATCGATCCATTCCTAGGCCTGATTCATTGGATGAAGATTTGGTGGAATAATAACAACCCAAGACTCATTCTGAGCTATTATCTCGACGCAATTGAGACCATCGGATGTACGTGATTGCTCTTCTCCGTGTTGGCTGTGAATTGACAGATCCGAAGTCATGCCTCTCGTGACTCAAAGCGATCCTGGTACAGAGAATATTGGTATTGCAAATGGACACACACAACTGCGGCATTATCAAGATCAGTCACTCGTTGGTACATCTCAACACCGATGGATGAGACAGAAGAAGAACGTTATGCCCGAGATCACTTGGAGCCAACTGCGCCGTCGATTCACACCTGGCTTTGAGGACATACTCGAAATCGGAGTCAACAATGGTTGGTATGATCCTGGAGTGCTTATCGAAGCGTGCGTACATGTTCGATCTTTTGTCTATGTTCAAAAGCCTTACAAACTCAGTCTTATTTTCCGTTGGGTGTTCATCCCCTGGCTCCAAGCCAAACTTGAACTCTATCGCAACCGCATCAACAACACTGCTAAACGCCATGATCGTAACAAGATTCTTCCTCACGGTGTTCCAAACCATATGTTCGAATACCCAGAGGACTATGCAATTCTTGATTTCAAGGTCTGTAATTTCACATCGATTTCTTGCATGTTCAATTGATTTGAGAATTTACAGATCAAGATTGATCCTGAGGGTGTTCACAAGGTTCGAGCTATGTACGCTCCTCCTGATCACAAGATATTTCACCTTGTTCCTCCCGAATTCCATGACATGATCTCTGGGATTTATAAAAGTATTGGTGAGCCAAGTGTCAACAGAGAGTCATGCTGGGACGTCTACCTCCAGTTGCTTTCTGAATTCCGGACGCTTGATGAGATTCACGGTGTGGATGTCAGCGCTAATGGGAATGTTGAAGCTTGTTTGTATTAGCGACTATCACAGTATGTAGACATGACATCATAAGTAGTATTCTTAGATTACTTTGGCTCGCTCCACAATGACCTCATACCTGACCTCATTATTGCGTCATCCATTACTCATCTATGATATCATTACTCCACTATGACATCATGATATCTGCTCCAGACTGGTATATAAACCTAGTACTATACGCTCCATATCCTCAGCTCCTGTGTCTCTACACTCGCTGAGACTCTGTCTTATAGGTGATCGCTACTGGTCGTATCTCCACTGCGCGGTATTGTCTGCGACAGGTTATGGGCCCCGCCTGAACCACTAGCGGCAAATCAAGAAACATCGAACTACTCCCTTTACTAAGGCGAGTATCTTTCACTCGTTCAGCCCTTCTAGAGCGCCGTCTTTGTGCGCTCGTCCCACTTGCTGGATGTCGGTCCTCGCATTTGTGCTCTCACCCTCAAGGGGTTACGCGAGCGGCGTCAGGGAGTCATTCAGTTGGCAGACGCGCCGTTAGCTATTCCGTCCATGATTGCTCGCGCGCGTTTTACGTTACATCTTTTTATTGTACAGCGGACATACCCACCAGGCACTGGTCCTTTGGTCAATCCCACTCCTGAACCTTGCGCGAAGCGCCTAGGTGGTGTGGTAGCTCTCAACAGCTGCTGGAGGTCAATCCCTCCGCCAGGCAAAACAATCCTTCGGGGTTGACTCGCATTCCTCACAAGGGACCCTGCGGGCTGGTGACACTACGAGGATTCATGCAATGACGCTCTGCGTGTATGCATGTCTTTAAAAGGGAGAAGATGGGCGGTCAAACCCGGTGCTTGGGACGGCCTTGGGCACGTGTCCCTTGGCCAGTGACAGACTGCGAGGGCAGTAATCACCGTCGGGTACTGCCACCGCTGACGTATATAGTTACGTTACTTTGATACAAATATGGGCACTTACTATACCGCTTTATTTCGTTATCATTCCCCGCGCGTATATGGGCATCATGGATGGGATGGGGACGCTTGGTCGTTCTCGTTTCAGAGATTTGGCACTTGGGATTTGTTTCTTGGTCTGCAGAGAATCTGGGGCTGACTTCGTCGCTCTAGTCTTCATCTCTATCACCCTGTCATCACCAGACAACCCTCCCGTTGGGGTTATCCTATTTCCTGTTGTCCGCTGGGCTCAGGGACCTCCTTACATTCCTCTCCAAGACGCCGATTGGAGGGATCTATACGATCTTGGAGAACACGACAACGAAGAGTTCTTCCATCACCAAGAGAATTGGACTCCAGAACTTCGATCTCTATTCGGTGATCCTCCCTATATCGAATTCCCCTCTCTTCACTACCAAACCGCCGACGTTATCGAGTATCTCCCCACCATGTCGGGAATCGAGAAACTCAACAACTCCATTCTGAGTGTCTTCGACGGCACCAATTGGAATACGTGGTCGGACAACTACATGAGCATCTGCATGCATCAGGGCACTTGGGGAGTGGTTAAACCCACTCATATTACGGTTAACGGCACATCTACCTCGAACCCTGGTTCTATGGAGCGTCCTGGAACGACTGGTGACAGCCAGTATCAATGGGACGTTGCCAATGAAAAGGCACTGGGTCTTGCGCGGGTTTACATCACCCAGAATCTGCGCAAGGGAATCTTTATGGAGGGTCAGCGGGAGCGCACTGCGCGCGAGGTTTTTGCGAAGATGGCGACGGATTATGGCCAACCAAATGCCATCGATGCTTTCGTCGAGTACCGCCTCCTGAACACCACCACCTTCCACGGTGGTGATACCATTGAAAAGCAAATCATGGAAATGGAGACTCGTCGTCGCCAGTGTTCGGAAGGAGGAATCGAGATCCCTGACTACCTCTTCGCAACTCTAATGCTCGCCGCTTTGCCCGCTTCCAGCAGAGGTTTTGTCACCTCTTACCTGGCCAATCGTCCTATCGCTTCTCTGAACCCAGTCGATGTCAAGAACAGCGTCATAGGGAATATCAAGATCGAGAACCTCGACACGACGTCGAACTCGAAGATTTCCACCGTTCCGTCCCTTGCCACCCGCTGCACTCATTGCAACAAGTCCGGTCACGTTGCGGCATCCTGCTACAAGAAGTATCCCAACCTCAAGCCGACTGGTCAATCTTCTGACAAAGGCAAGGGGAAGCAGGATGAGGGGAAGAAGAAAAAGAAGAAGGAAAAGAAGAGCGGTGATGGTACTAGCGCTGTAAAAGAAGTTGTAGCCGCTCCCGCGGTTGCAGCTGTCTCCAATGGAATGCACATTTCGTCCTATCTCATGAGTGACTCCCTCAAACACATCGATGATGGAATTTTTGTTGAAGAAATGGGAGACGACTCCAAAATTCGTTTTCTATGGGACTCGGGTTGTACGCATCATATGACAAACACCCGATCCGATCTTCACAACATCAGACCTATCGACACCTATGTAGTTGTTGGGTCGGGAGCTCGCTTCAGGAATGAAGCCGTTGGAGATATTGTGTTGCGGGGTCATACTAGTAGTGGCATGGACTACACCTTCACGCTGAAGGATGTCATTTACAACCCACACATAAGAGGGCGTTACCTTTCTGGATATGCGCTCGATCAGGCTGGTTACTACACCGTGGTTGGTGACAACAAGGCAATCCTAGTCACCAAGGATTGGCTCAACAAGGGAAAAGCGCATGGGGATGTCTTGATGACCTTTAAAGCAAGCAATCGCTGCTACTGGTACTACCCCGAGGAGCTCGTGGCACCATCTGTGTCTGCATCTCACGAGTCTACCGCACTCGCTTCCCTGGAAACTACCGATTGTGAATTGTGGCATAAGCGTTTTGGTCATGCGGCTCGGAGGACCCTTACTCACTTGCCGACACAAGTTGAAGGTGTTCCCCCCTTGCTACGCAATAAAGACCAGCGCGGCATGTGCGATGGATGTATGCTTGGAAAACAGCACAAGCATCCGTACCCTGCATCAGAGAAACATGCTAGCAAACCCCTCGAGCTTATCCACACTGATTTGATGGGCCCCTGGCCTACTCAGTCGTTGGAAGGTTCACGCTACACAATTTCGTTCTACGACGATTTCTCGAGCTTTGGCATGATGGTGTTCATTAAATCAAAGGACCAAGCCTCTACTGCGATTAAAAACTTTGTTGCCCTTACAGAGCGTCAGCTTGGCACAAAAGTACTGGCCTTCCGGTCAGATCGTGGAGGCGAATATATGTCCGATGAACTCACAGCCTGGCTCAATGCACGTGGTATTATGCACCCTAAGTCCGCGCCACGCGAACCACAGCAAAATGGGAGGTCTGAACGTTGGAATCGCACAGCCTACGAGAAAGCGGAATGCATGCGCCTCGATGCCGGCCTATCCAAAGGCTTCTGGCAATGTGCTATGGATGCATCTGTCCACGTTCATAATAGACAACCTATGGCACGATTGGGATGGCGAACACCTGCGGAACTGTGGCTTGGAAAGAAGCCAGACGTCTCTTATTTCCGTGTGTTTGGATGCAAGGCGTCTCTCTATGTGGATGTTGAAAAACGCCCGAAAGGGTTGGAGCATGGACGCCCCGACCACATCTTCGTTGGATACGAACGAGAGACAAAAGCTTGGAAAGTGTGGGATCCGAATCAACGCAAGATATGAGTCTCTTCAAATGTTGAGTTCGATGAGCGAGTATTCCCTGCCAAGTCCAAGCTAGTCACCGGCAATGTGTCCTCTGGACCGGAGCCGTTCACACCATTCGAGGAAACCTTCCCTGACCTTATCAATAATCCTGCGCCTGCAACACCTTATGCAAGTGTACCACCCTGTCATAGTTCGGCCACTTTTTCATCTTATCATCGACGATCTTATCTTATCTTGGCACGACTTATCTTATCACGGATCACGGCATCAGACGGTCCGGACTAGGGGTTCCAGGGATTATCTTCATCGATTCGAGGCTGCGCGACATATGCTCCGGAAGGTTCTAGTACAACCCATGACCAGCGTTCCATGCGGTACATAGTCTTATGACTCATTAGTTGTAGATATGACTCAGACTGGATTTGGGTATAAATACTGTAGCTACCTGGTTGTATTCTCCAGTCTTCGAATTCACTTCTCTTTTCGACTTGTTTCTGGGTTGATTGTCACATAATTCGAAGACTCCCCTCATACCCTCCTACCTCATACCTCTTACCCTGCATCTTGCACCGCTACGCCCGCTATATCCTCTTAACCCTTATCACCCCACTCACCCTTTTACCGAATCATCTAGTCGTCCTCCACTATCGCAGTGAAGGGTTCATATCAAGCAAACAGCACCAGGCCACGGGTAACGTTGAGCCCGACCCAAGCCTTACGGTAGCTACAAGGAGTGCTGCGGAGACCTTCGGGAAAACGCACCTCGGGATCATCGGGCACGTGAAGAGCTAGGCCCGGGATCCTTTTGCTAGCAAAAGAACCCTCCCTCGAGTGCTTGTACAGCACACGATTCCACCATTTCGTACTGATTCCCATCGTCGTCTGGGAGTCCATCCCCTCCCCCCATCGTACCATCGTCGCCCGATCTGGCGCATCAAAACCAACCCGGGCCCTCTGACCCCTACCTCGCCCTCCCACCGCCTGAAGACGAGATCCCCGACCTCGACGAACTGCCCTCCGAACAACCACCCTCGCCTCCACCTCACACGCCTGCCCCTACCATGTCAGGGCATCACCGCATCACCCTCGCCGCCAACCCCCCCTACTTCGATGGCGACAAGTCCAAATACCTGGGCTTTGTGGACGCGTGCACCACTTACATCGGTGCCTATCGATCGGAGTTCTCACAAGATGAGACCAAAATCCTCTTTGTCCTCTCCTACCTCCGTAACGAGAACGGCACGAGCTGCGCTGCCTCGAGATGGGCGATGAACTGGAAGCAGCACAACTTCGATGGCTTCCAGGGACTAAAGGCAGGAGTCACATCAAAGAACTTCCTGGAGGAGTTTCAGAGGGCGTTCGGGGATTCCAATGCGGAACAAGTCGCCGCTGCTCGGCTTATGGCCCTGCGTCAAAACAAACGGTCCTTCGCGGACTACATCTCCGACTTTGAGATGTTGGCCGCGGATGCAGGCTACAATGTGGTTGACACCACCGACGACAAAGGCGAATACAAGAAGGGGGACCAGGATAATATCCTCATCGAGTTCCTGGAGCGCGGACTCAGCAGCGAGATCACCAGCCGTCTCTACAACACCGGTGTCCCTTTGCCCAAGGCCTATGGAGCGTTCAAAGCCTGGTGCATCAACATCGAAGCCAATGCTCTGCGTGACCAGTTGCGCAAAGCGTCGTATGGGCACCCCACACAACGACCACCTCCCCAGTTCCGTCCCCAAACGGCACCAGTGGCGCCCACACCCGCTCCGACCCGACCCGCTGCCAACGAACCGGTTCCGATGGAAATCGATCGTACCCACGCCCGCGGCCGCAATATCATCTGCTACAACTGTCAGCAGCCCGGGCACATTGCGCGGAACTGCCCGGAGCCCAAGAAGAAGCGCACGTTCTTCAATCGGGCCACAATGCTGGAAGAAATCGAGAACGGGGACAAGGACAACGAGTTCCTGAAGGAGATTGCCGAGAAGCTGCGCGAGAAGGGTTTTTAAAGCGCTCCACTCCTCTAGCCAAGGAGGTGGAGCGTCCGGACTATGGACGTTTTTCTGTACTTGTTTCAATTAAAGATACGGACAATATTTCATCTAAATACACGATCTCAGACTCACTACGTACAAATATTCACGATTTTCTTATTGCCGAGATGGAAAAAGAACGCCAGGAAAAGATAGCTCTAAATAGAAAATACTTACAAGATAAAAAGGATCAGAAAGCTGCAGATAAATTATTTTTGGACTCCTACGTATTTATGGCTCGTGGAGAAGGAACCACGTCAACAAAGACCGAAAAGGGGAGCATCGCTCCGAAGGCTCGATCCTTGGAAAAGGAGGAAGCGCCCAAGGAATCTGCCAAAATCGAGGTTCCAGAAGCACCCAAACGCACCAGGGTGCCAAGTGCCATCCAGAGGAAATTGGCGGCCGAGAAACAGAAGGGCCCCCAGCCCAGCAGATTGGCGCAGGAATTGCGCAGTTACCAAGCCGAAAGAAAGAGGCATTCGATGGACGTATATGTCCAGATCACGGGCCTGGACTCAGGGAAAACGCGTGGAGTCAAGGCGCTGCTCGATAGTGGCTGCAGTACCTGCTGCATTGACACTGACTACGCACGGGCAGAAAAGCTGGATATCCAAGAGCTTCCGCAACCCATTGTGGCTCGTAACGCCGACAACACCGAGAACATCAGCGGTCGGATCACGCACTACGTCGACTTGAGAATGAGAATCGGTCCTCATGTGGAGACACGCACGTTCCTTCTGACGTGTTTAGGGAAAGCTCGGATCTTCATCGGTCTTGATTGGCTGACGGAACACAACCCCGAGGTGGATTGGCAGGAGCAGACAATGAAATTCAGCCGATGCCCAGAGCAATGTCAAATGAGGGGTCACAAGGAGCACCAAGCGATGATCGACATGGATGCAATTGACCTGGACGCGGGTGCACCGGATCTGGAAGAGGGAGAATCGATCTTGTTGATCGACTTTGGAAAGAAGGTAGACCTACGGCTGAAGGAAACGCCGGCGCAGAAATTCGCAGAAGAAGCGGAAAAGGAGAAGGAGAGAATGACCGAGGGAAAGATTCCAGATCAATACCGAGAATTCGTCAAAGTATTCGCCAAGGAATCATTCGACTCGCTACCGGACCGACGGGCATGGGATCATGCGATCGAACTCAAACCAGGCTCCAAAGCAGTGGACTGCAAGGTGTACCCCTTATCGAGAAACGAGCAGGTCAAACTCGACGAGTTCTTACAAGAGAACCTAGCCAGCGGACGGATCAGGCCATCAAAATCACCCATGGCATCGGCATTCTTCTTTGTCAAGAAGAAGGATGGCTCGCTACGGCCTGTTCAAGATTACCGGAAGCTGAATGAGATGACGATCCGAAATCGGTACCCGCTACCGCTGATTTCCGAACTGGTCCACAACCTGTGCGGCGCCAAGTTCTTCACCAAGCTAGACATCCGGTGGGGATATAACAATGTACGGATCAAAGAGGGCGACGAGTGGAAGGCTGCATTCCGCACGAACCGAGGGCTGTACGAGCCCTTAGTTATGTTCTTTGGTCTCACGAATTCTCCGGCAACGTTCCAAAACATGATGAACGACATACTCCGGGAACTGATCAACGAGGGACATGTGGTAGTTTATCTGGACGACATACTAATCTTCACAGAAAATCTGGATGAACATCGACGAATCACCAAACGGGTACTCGAGTTGCTCCAAAAGCACAAATTATACCTGAAGCCGGAAAAGTGCGAGTTCGAACGCACGGAAATCGAATACCTGGGTGTAATCATTGGACACAACTCGATGCGGATGGACCCTGTCAAGATCAAGGGCGTGATGGAATGGCCGGAACCAAAGAGCGTCAAACAAGTCCAAGCCTTCCTCGGATTCACAAACTTCTATCGACGTTTCGTTCGGGGATATGCGGAGGTCGCCAAGCCGTTGACGCGGCTGACAGGGAAGGCAGGATGGTCATGGGGTCCGGATGAACATGCGGCGTTTGATGGGTTAAAGAAGAGAATCGCGGAGGATGCCGTCTTAGCACTGCCAAATGACACCGGCCAATATCGTCTGGAAGCCGATGCTTCGGAAGGGGCAACAGGATCTGTTTTGAGCCAAAACCAAGACGGCATTTGGCGCCCAATTGCATTTATTTCGCATGCATTAACGGAAACCGAGCGAAATTACGAGATCTACGACAAGGAAATGCTTGCAATCATGTTATCGCTCGACGAATGGAGGCAGCTACTCTTGGGGGCCACAGAAACGTTTGAGATCTTCACTGATCATCAGAACCTCGAATACTTCCGGAAGCCACAAAAGCTCAACCGACGACAAGCACGATGGATCACAGAATTAGCAGAATTCGATTTCACCTTACGACACCGGCCCGGCGCACTCAACCGCAAGGCGGATCTCTTATCTCGACGAGCGGATCACGATCAGGGCAAGAACGACAACAAGGATATCACTCTGCTGAAACCCAAATTCTTCCGGTCACAAGAAGTCACATTCGAGGGGCAAGATCAGCAGCTAATCGATGAGATCAAGGCTACTCGATCAATTGATGGAAGCGTCAAAGCGGCCTTGGAGAAGTCACTCGTCGGATGGAAAAAGGAAGATGGGCTCATCACGTACCATGGGAAGCTCTACGTGCCGAGGAATGAGGAGCTACGAGACAAGATCATCGGACTACACCACGACACACCTTTGGTCGGACACGCTGGGATCAACCGAACGCAGGAGATGGTGGAAAGGAACTACTGGTGGCCAAGGATGGGAAACCAAATTCGGAAATACATCCAGACGTGCGAGGCGTGCCAGCGGACCAAGACCAGAAGAGCCAGGACAGGGAGTTTGCACCCGCATGCAGTTCCAAACGCGCCGTGGGAAATCATCTCAATGGATCAGATCGGACCCCTGCCGGTCAGTAACGGGTATGACGCAATTCATGTGTGGTGTGACACCTTCACCAAAATGATCCATGTCGAACCAA